AAACTCAGATTTGCAGGGTAGACAGTGGGCTGCGTCCCAAGCTCTTTTGCTCTTCAGAAGCATTCCACTACTTTGTATTTGAAGGTCTTTCTCCTGGTTGCTTGCAGTTTATTGTTTCTGAACTGAATCACAAAATTCAACCGCTGTGTGTTAACAACATTGGATTTTTTTATTCTGTTTATTTTGTGGAGCCGATCTATTCATTCTTTCAATTAGTATTTCATTTTATACTTTCAGAAGTTCTCAGCAGTTTTCCCTGTATTATTTTTTGCATTACGATGTTGAGATTTTTTTGACTTGTCATATTCTGGGAGACCGATAACTCTTAGGTTGTACACATCCTGTCTTTGAGATCAATATTTTGCTCAAATAGGAAGCATCTTTTCTTTTAATGTTATTGGGTTTTTTGTTTGTTTGTTTGACCTCTCTGCTAATTGTCCTCTCTTTAGTATATTTGAGGTACCTATCAACTGTCTTCTCTTTGTTTCTTTGTGGAGCTTGGCATTGAACATTCAAGTTTTTCTATTGTACCAATTGTTTCTGCTGTGTAGGCCATAAAATCTGCTGTCACGATTCTCATTTCTCTTTTAAACCACTCAGGAACTGTGTGTTCCAAGTTCTTGAATTCTATAGGCTCCTCTATCTCATCACCTTTCTCATCATTTTTCTTTGTCTTGAAGCATTTATTCCCAGATGCCTGAACTCATTTACTGGACCTGGAGGCCACATTTCCTTCTGTGGTTAATGTTTTCACCGTTGATTTATCTGCTTATATTCAAGTTCTTTGTGTTTTCTTCCTCCTGAGATCTTTGGTAATTTCAGTCTCTCCATTCCACTTCCCCACCTCCTAATTTTTCCCTGCTGCTCACTTTCTGCCCTAGTCTGATGGTGGTTTCCTTCGGGGCTGCATCCCAAAGCAATTCAGCCTCCTTCCCCAGTGGACCATTCATGGTTCACTAGCCTAGATCTCTGTCCCAAGTGACTTTTTTTTTCTTTTTTTGGAGGAGAGGGGACATAAAACTGGCCCTAACTGGATGATGAACTCTTTCCCTGAAGCTTAGTGTAGCACATGCCCCCCAACCCTGCCCCACTCCAGGCACAAGGTTCCATCCCACTACCATGCTAGTGCTTTAGCAACCTGAGATTACTTCTGTCATTTGGAGTTTGAATTTCTGAAATTCTAGTGGGGGAAATGGTCATGGTGTGGGGTTGTGCTCTATTTCAAGCCCTGACATGTGTCCCTTCCCTCTGAGCTTCAAAAAATGGTGCTGGCTATTGAGGCTTCAGCAAATTTCTGCAGTTTGGAACTTGAATCTCTACAACACTTAGAAAGAGGAAGAGGGAACTGGAATTCTAAGGTTGTTTTGTTGCAAACCTGTGGGTTGGGTCAGCTAGTGAAGCCTTGCTTCTAGGAGTGTATTGGGCTGTGGGTAAAGGGATTTTCATTGATCTCAACATAGGCATTAATTCATGGAATTTACCTTCTTTTGGGTTCCTGGTGTCTTAGATGATGGAGATGCTCAAGTTGCTTTATCTGTGGCACATGATTTCTGTTCTGGAGAAATTTATGAGGTCATGAGGATCAGAGAAAACACCCAGTATTCCATCTTGATGATCACATGACCCCCCCATATTAATTTTCTATTTTTGCTTCATAATGGCTTTTCATGACATTTCCATTGTTGTGCTCATTGAACATGTAGTTTTCCTGGCTCTGCTTACTTCACTTTGCATCAGTTCATGTAAATCTTTTTATGCTTTTTGTTCTCATGTCCATTGCTACTTACAGCACAGTAATATTCAGTTATATTGATGTAATAAAATTTAGCCATGCTGTAATCAATGGTAAGTTCTTTGGTACCACAAAAATGGCAGCTATCAATATTTTAGAATATATGAGGCCTATCTTTTTGTCAGTAACCTCCACCATGAGGCAAATGTCTAGTGATGGAATTTCCAGGTCAAAGGGTATGCATGATTCCAATTGCTTTGTACTAATTTACAGCTCCACCATCAATGCATTAGTGTTCCCATCTTTCTGCCACCTCTCTGACATTGACTATTGCAATTTTTTGTCATCTTTGTCCACAGGTTGGGTGTGAGGTGAAAGTGGTTTTGACATATATTTCTCTTATCAGTGACTTAAAGGATTCTTCCACATGGTTGTTAAGTTGCTATACATCTTTTTTTTTTTTAAAGGCAATTGGGGTGACTTGCCCAGAATCACACAGCTAGTAAGTGTCAAGTGTTTGGTCTGAGGCCGGATTTGAATTCAGGTCCTCCTGACTTTAGGGCCGGTGCTCCATCCACTGTGCCACCTAGCTGCCCCTGCTATACATCTTTTTTAAAATTTTATTTTTAGTTTTAAAAAATTTTTTAAATTTTATTTTTAGTTTGTGGAATGTTGCTATACATCTTTGACATTAGGCCCTAGACAAAATATGTCAGTGGAGTATTGTCAGTCCACGCTTTAAGTTCCATATACAAATAACTTCTCAGTTATAGCACATTTCAAAAACAAATATTTCATTTTAAGTTGCTTTGATACACAAACAATCCTTTCGTTCTCCCCTCCCACCCCCACCCCTACAATTTCCACTGTTCAAACAAACATTTGAATGATATGCCACTCTGAACTGGTCCTCAAATAATGCATAATAGTCAACTTCTGGGATCATACCTGAAGTCAAATTTAGCTTGGTAAAACTAACTTACTTGCCCGAGAGCTGCAAGCTCTAAGGGTCCATTCAATCTCCAAATCATGATGAATCACTGCAGTTGGACTCTGAAGAAGAGATAATAAAATACTATACATGAAAAATACTATACATTCCTTCAGCCAAAGGAATATAAAGAAATAACACTACATGGACCAAAATATAATATTTTTTTCTAAATATTTTATTTTATAACAATCCTCTTGTAAAAAGAAAAGAATTTAAAAATAACAAGTAAATTCAAAAATTTTGAAAACTGCAATTATGAGCAAAAGATCTATGGCATGCCATCTTCGGAATTATCTCCCACAAACTTTTTCTTCCATAAAAGAAAAACTAAAATGTCCTCACAGTTCTGGTATGTCTTTTCAGGACAATATATGGCAGCTAAATCATATGAACAGAAGTTCTAGAAGGCAGTCTCATCACTAAAGAAAATAAAGTACATTTATTTCTGTTAATCATTTTTTTTGCACATCTTCCCCTTGAAATGACTACATAAATACAAAGTCTACATATAAAATCAGTACTGCTGAATAGATTGCTGACACTTTGACAATAAAGATGAAATGAAAATTTATATTATTTCAAGAGAGACCAGTGATTCCCCATTCATCAAATGGAAATTTATTTATTTAAAAATAAACCTCTTCAGATTATAATACCAAGATTTGATTTATTGCTAAGGTTACCAAAAAAAGGCGCAAAAACATATAGGATATAATGATAATAAATAAACAGGCAAACTTGCTTCAAAATACCCAAAACATGATCACATTCAAAAATTCTAAAAAATAAAGATAAAAAAATATGGATAGTAGGTACTTAATTTGAGGGGGATGTGCAGTAATTTTTTTTTTTAAATTAATACATCTTGATGGCCTGGACAATTGGCAAAGTTAATACTGCCTGTGTTAATCACTTAAAAGCTAACTTTTAAGCAAAATAAATTTCATTTCTTTAGGTCAGCCACCATCTGGCCTCATAATAAAAGGCCTGGGTCTAATGAATGTGGCTTTAGTTGTTTGCAGTCTTACTTCCCTGTATAGACATTTCTCAATATAACTAATTTCCTGTTGACAGCTCATGATAGGGCAAGAGTTCCCTATGGAGACCAAAGAGAATACAGAAACCACCCATATTGCAAGAATACATTTTTAGAAAAGTGATAGGCAGTGCCTGTCATTTAGTTACAAAGAGGAACTAAAGATATTGCCAGTGTACAAAACTAATCGATAAATAAACCAAAGAGAAAGTACTCCCAACACTGGGCTATGTATTTATGGTTTAGTGACCCAAGATACCATGTGAAGCTTTTGGAGATGAACCAATGAATTTCCCAATCCCATTCCACCCACCTCACCCCTCCAAAAACAAACTAAAAAACACAGTTGGGATCGACGAGGAGCCCTCTACTTCCACTTAATTACAATAATGGGAAGAGTAAAAGGAGGTAGTACATTAAAGAGAAGGGGGAAAAATTACCTGGAGGAAAAAGTACTTCCACTGAGAAAGAGCCTTCTACCACAATCTAAATTATAGTATAATTATTTTCAGATGATTTTATTTCCCAATGAGAAAATTAATGATTAAAAAAAGGAAACACCCATTTTTGCAAGGCTCTAAGTACTGCTAATCTCAAGTGGAAGAAGTATGGTAGATAATAAGGTGAGCTTTGCCAATGGGGCCGTGTAGTGTCTGGAACAAGGAACAGTGAAGAGGAGAAAGAAGGGGGAAAAGTGAAAGCACAACATTAAGCTTTCTACTTATTCTTCTTAACCTAAGATTTCAACTCATCATATTTATCATCACCTAGAGCTACAGAAATATGGGACTTACAGGAGAGAAAGGTCCAAAACAAACTCTAAATAAATAATATACTATTTTAAAATTAAGTTTGGTCAATAAAGGCTCAATAAATATGTCCACTGAGTGGGGAAAATTCTCAGAAAGAAAAACACAAACACAGAAACAAAAACAAACCCTTATCAGGAAAACCCTTCATTATAAAAATCAGGCCAATTTCATTGGACCCACTTTTTTCCTGACACATAGCCTTAGCTGTCAAAGACCTAACCTTTCTTTACCCTTTAGGGGTGGGGAAAAGAGAAATAATCTGATTCATTCTTTTAAAAGCTTACATTTAATCATAATACTAAACCTGTATTGGTGAATAGGAAATCTAAATACAATTGCGAAATACCCTAGAGCAGTGGTGTCACACTCAGAGAAACATCCCTGCTGGTCACCTATTGACCTAGAAAATCACAAATGAAGATTATCTATGTTGAATTAAATTTTTATTTATTTTTGGTAAACTTCTCAATTACATTTTAATTAGGTTCAAGCTGTGAGTTTGACATTTTTGCCCTAGAGGATCTGGGTGAGTGGTGTTAAGATAGTGTTCCCATGTCTATGAGAAAAACTGATTATACATTGGAAATTCCGAAGATTGGTAAAATTAAAGTCCTTCTACTCCTAAAATCAGACATTTTCAGGTTGAATGTTAAGGGAAAAAGGCAAACAAACAACCCAATGATTGCCAAAAGCTATTTGAATGCTAATTACTCAGTTCCCTTTGCTGTGTGCCCTCTCTCCTGCCTGTTTCCAATACACACACACACACACACACACACACACACACACACACTCTTTCCACCTCAGATTATCATCTTTTCAATAGAACTGGGTATATGCTTTATAAAGTGGGTTTTATTGTTAAATAAATCATTGTTAAAATATCAAACTCATTCACATTTTAAATTATCTCCAGAAGGGCAGAAAAACTAAAGGCTCCTTTTCTAAGTAAAATATTCCTCCTCTTCCTACAAAAAGAAAAACAAAAAATAAAGATATTCCAGCAAAACTATAGTACCAAAGGAAAGATTTTATACTGTTGTTTCTTTTTTCTCTTGGAAAACTCTTAAATAAGTCTATCTCACCGTCAAGTGTGTGCTGCTTGCTTCTTATGTGTATGAGAATTTCACATAATTGAAAGTTTTACTTGTATAAACTAGTCTTTTTAATTGTCTGCTTAAGTATAAATTTTGCCTTCAGGATTTGAAGCATGCAATGAAAAAAGTGCATCTGATTTTTAAAATATCCTTTAAATTCCTATATACAACTGTAACAACAAAAGACTTTGTGAATATTAATTAACAGGATTCAGCAGCCACTACATTTTATATAATACATAAAAAGGGATCCACAAGTAATTCTCTCATAGGTGCAGTGTGTGTTGCAATAAGAACCTGAATCATACAATTCTCACAACTGTGCACATAGAACTATGCAAATTGATCAACCTTCCAAAAAACCACTGAATTTTCAAAATAAAACACCCCCCTCCCCCCAAAAAGTGCAAGGCCACTGAAGAAGAAAGCAGCTCTTTCACCACCTGTGAAGTAGTCTAAAATGGACTTTAGCTCACAAAAGCTCACACACCCTGACCCCGACGTGCATAGATCAGAACCTGTTATAAAGAACAGAACTCAACGCCCTCAAGCTGTATTTTTCTCCTCTACTTCCTGGATAGAGGGTAGATGCGGCTAACTGATCCCATTTGGCCAGCAAGATGCACTGCTGTTCCTCAGTCGACCCCCAAAATGGGGAATACATAGAATGCTATAAACCTCCAACCTGACAAACAGTTATTGCTTATTTAGCAATAGTCTTAATATTACATTTTAAAAAGGGTCATGGCTTGGCCTCAGAACTGATGCTGGGATAGTCTGACATGCTGTTCTGGTCTTTCCTCTGGACCTTCTGTTCTGTGAACTTTAACCAAAGAAAATATGAGAAAGAACAGAATAAGGGCAGTTTGAAGGGATTTATATTCACATACCAAAATTTGCCCTTTCTTTTTTATGATATTTGCAGCCTATACAACCCATTATCCAGGAAGTTTCTACTATCAGCTGGCAATTTTGGGGCTCATTAATTTAACTTCAAATAAATCAAGTATTAAATTTCAAATATTCATGTAGGATGTATGGGATGAGTCCAGGGCAAGTATGGGAGGGAAAATGTTTCTATTTGAAACAGAACAACAAGGAGAATTGGCTTTTAAATACATCATAGTCAAAATGGTGTTTCAATTCTCTGATTCACAGTAGCATGTGGAAAATTCAGTTTTGGAGCAACAGATATGTCTCCTCAGCAACATAAGGCCTTTGCCCAAGTCCTTCCATTTGGAAGTTTTAGAAATTAACAAATGTGTATCATTAGGGCAAGGAATTTAGGAGGAAAGGCATTATTTTATGTTCATGTAATCAAGTCTGGTTGACTCAAGAGTTATGGAGCCAAGATATGGTGGAAAATTTGTTAACAAGCAAGAATCATCACCCCAGTACTTTTATATTCTCTTGGGAAAGAAAAGGACTTGCCCCCCCACCCCAGCAACTTGAAATTAATTTCCTCCAGAATTACAGATCATTAGGATCTAATCTTGAAAATAAAATAAAATTACCTGTGACCAAAACAAAACAATGCCCCTATAATTCAAAAATAGATTTCATTTTTCTTTGACAGAGTTTTGAGTTTCTGGGCATCTTAACAGTTTAATCCCTCATATTTTACCTCTAGTTGAAAAAAATAACAAAAACCCATAAGCTACCAAGCTTGGCAGAAATAAAGGCTGGTTCCCTTTTCACTAAGACAGGAAATGCAGAATACAGTTACTCTGATAAGCAATGGAGATATCAAGATGTGCCTCCATAAACTCTTGTTTCTATTCTTTTCTACAGCTCCTAACTCAGAATAAATAACTCTTTCTAAGGCTTTCCCGAAGTAATAGAGAAACCAAAGCAGTAATGTTTAAGAAGATAACTTGCAGTACAGAAGACCTTATCTCAACGTGTGTGAACTCCTAAAATACTCAATTTCATCAAAGCCTTAATTCACAGGGTAGACAGTGTGAAACCCTAGAATCCTTCACAACTTACATTTCAATGTATGGCAGTTGGAACAAATACCCCCCACTCCTCTTCAAAATTAAAGAAATAAATAAAATTTAAAAATAAAGAATGGGACATACAACATCCCAAATACTATTCCAAAAATCATTGTTTAAAAAAAAATCATGGAAAGAATTCTTTGTGTTACTAGTAGGAATGGGTTGTGGAAGATTTTGAGATGAGGTGTGTCTACTTTCAAAGCTGGAATTGCTTCTTCTCAGCCTCATTTTCAAATTATAATTTTTATCTTGCTTGTTATAAAGCCAGAGAAATGTTTACAGACCATTGAGACACAACCAGCTTAAGGCTAGACATTGCACTTTTGTCTTTCAAGAAAGAAAATCACCAACTCTGCAGCTCCTTCGTCTTTTCTCTTATAGACTCACACGGCCCTGCCCAAAGGATGTGGGCACAGTTTCAGGATTTGGAAGTGGGGCCAGATTCCCTGCTATCATACTGTAGTTCATTCCATCTTGAGTTGGGGGTCCCAATGAAGCTGAGAGCCACTCTTTCTGAGGTTTCCAAAGTGTGACAAGGCATTGAGCCACTCCGGCCGCTGGTTAGAGTGTTTTTGCCACCTGCCGCAGCTGCTGTAAGGCCTGTCTGGTGTAGAGAACCAGCTCAACCAGACTGCTGTTCAAGGCCAAGGCGCAGACACTTGCACTGAGCTCTGTAAAGAATTCTAGAAAGAGGGGAAGAAAACAAGGAAAAGGAGAAATGAAGGGTCCAGCAATATTATGTGAAAGATACAGGAATCTAGGGGCAGCCAGATGGCGCAGTGGATAAAGCACCCGCCCTGGAGTCATTAGGACCTGAGTTCAAATCCGACCTCAGACACATAACACTTATTAGCTGGTGACCCTGGCCAAGTCACTTAACCCCATTGCCTAGCCTTGCCCCCCGCAAAAAAAGTTAAAGGAATCCTAAAGCATTACCACTGAGCTACTCAGGAATGTACATGAACATTAACATAGAACAGACTTTGAAAGATTAACATGACTCCAGCTACCTCCTGGTATGTGAACAGGCTATCCATAGCCCACAAACTGGATTTAATCCTAGGCTGTGCTAAGGAAACCTTTGTTTCAAAGTTCTAAATCATGATCCTCACCATACTGATGGTTTCTACTCATCTTAAAAAAAATACAAATACAGAATAAAAACAAATTCATATACATAATTTAATAAGAATGAAATGAACTGCAAATGAATGAAAGGTGACAAAAACTATCAAAAAGACATCAACAGGGTCTGTGATTTGGTATATTTTCCCTCCTTCTCCCCCAAAGTCCCAGAGTGGTAACTAACCCTAATACACTCCGCCTATCACCTTTCCCCCGCCTCACCTGTGGACATATATTACAAGCCCATTATTTGGATTCAGCAGGCATAACAAAAGCCAGTAACTTTTCAACTTTTCTGCCCCCCCCCCCCTTTTTTTTGGAATGAGGCAGTCGGGGTCAAGTGACTTGCCCAGGGTCACACAGCTAGTAAGTGTCAAGCGTCTGAGGCCAGATTTGAACTCAGGTCCTCCTGACTCCAAGGCCGGAGCTCTATCCACTGTGCCACCTAGCTGCCCAGTAACTTTTCATCTTGGCCTCACCCTTGCTTTATCAATCTGATAAAGAAAATACAAGGTAAGTAAGAAAAGGCTCTCATTTTGGCCTTTTGTGAAGGGGCAGGCTATTCTAGTGTGTTCTCATTTTGCTGTGTAAGGCCTGGTCACAGAAATGAAGATGCCCTTTAAACAACTCAACCAGGACAAAGAAGGGAGAACAAAAGAAATTCAGTGGTCTGATTAAATCTAAGGGGTAAACATCTACATTGTCCCTATTTTAACATGCTCCTCCTCCCTATTTTGTGAAGCAAAACATTAACACACACACACACACACACACACACACATTCTCTCTCTCCCTCTCCCTCTCACCTGTATTCTTCCTTGCGAGTGCATCAGCTTGTTCCCAAAGATCATATGCATTAAGGATATGGGAAGTGATAGTGACGTAGGAAGAGGTCATATTTTGGATCACAACAGGGGTGCTGACAGTTGCGCTGATGCCACTTGACCCTGGCTGGAAAACTCCAGAGCTTGCAGGAGAAGGCATGGGGGACAGAGGTGATGGTGTGCTTATATTTCTGGCAGAAAAGAAAGAGAAATTTGTTACATATTTGAATGATCAGTGTATAAAGCCTTAGTAATATATATGTGTGTGTATATATATATATATATATACACACACACATATATACGCACACACACACATATATATATATACACATATACACATGCACACAACACATACACACATATGTATTTATATATCTTATTTTGTTATCTATTATATATTAAAAAATAATAAAGCTGTCTCTGTTCTGAGGGGGGGAAAAACCCCTCTTACCTCCAAAACAACAAAAAAGATTATTTTCTTCCCTACAAAGAAGTAAGCTTCTGGAGGGAAGTGGATGTGAAGAAACATAGTGTGCAGCGGTATTTTGCACGACAATGGACATCTACCTATCCAAATGGATGAGGTCTTGGGATGCAACATGGCTCAGTAGGTAGGAAGTCAGCCTCACAGTCAGAGAGGCAGGGTTTCAGGTTCAACCTCTGACGCTGTACGACTGCTTGTGTGACAAACAAGTCACTTCACCAAATCAGCGCCACAGACACCTCTCCAAGGCAGAGGTACAGAGCAGCTGTGGATCTGCAATTTTGAGTTCACAGATAGAACTACAGGACTAAACCCTGCAAAAGTCTGTCCCTGGCTTTAGACTCAGTACCACTTTCTCCTAGGGCTTAAAAAAAAAAATCAGCTTCGCAAATGTAAGACAGAACAGGCTACCCAGGGAGTGGCGAGCTCCTTTATATTGGAGATCTTCCTTGTCAGATATGTTGTAGAGATTTCTGGAAGGTCCACCTAATGGGGGACTAAGGTAGCTGCTGATGGCACTTCGAGCTTTGTTATTATGAGATCATTACCATCTTGGAACCTGGATGTCTCTCTAGACCACAAGATTCTCAAGAAGACTTTCAAGTAATTCATCTATTTTACTAGCAATCAGGGACAACGCTCCATAGTAGTGGGATTGGCCAAAAATGTTCAGAGCTGACCAGTTACTTCATGAATATGCTTTATGATTCTGTCTTATTTTCTAATTGAAGATAGGCTGTATATAATTTCTTGGTATGAATCTGAAATAAAACATTTTTATAGTAATTTTAAAGTAGTAAAGCTGTCAAATGTTCAGAAGCAGAAAATGATTACATAATATGCCAAAGTAAAAAAACAACCAGGAAATCCATTTTGGTCTCATAAAATTAAGTTCAATATTTCTACGGACTTAAATGTAGGAAAATTCCCTTCCTTTCTGGATCAGTAGTTTCATTCTTAGGACAAACTGTGGTGGAAACAGGAAAAATTATTGTTAAAAAGGTAAAGGTAGAGCTGGGAATCAGAACTAGGGTGTTGTCACAAATCAGTCCCTAATGAGCAGCTAGGGACCATGGGTAAGACACTTAACCTTTGAGTTAAAATTTCTTCATCAGAAATATAAAATGATAGGAATTAACTATCTACATATATATTTGTGTGTGCATGTATGTATAAAGACAGGTGTATATATATATATATATATATATGTACATACACACACACACATATATATGCACACACACAGATACAGATTATATATGATATATAATCTATATTAATGATAGGTATAGATTATATGCAGATATAATCTATATTATAATCTAACATACATCTATATTAATATATAGATTAACCTACATGTACATTATATAATATACATATGGATTATGTATCTGATATGTATGTAATATGTAATTATATGTGTACACAATCCATATCAATCATCCATCTATTTCTTTGATTCCTTCTAACTCAGGAAGAATGCATTACATAGCATTTTAATTCTTCCTGATCATCTTATAAGAAAATACAAATTTAAGGGGCAGCTAGGTGGCTCAGTGGATAGAGCATGGGCCCTGAAGTCAGGAGGACCTGAGTTCAAATCCGGCCTCAGACCAACCACTTGACACATACTAGCTGTGTCACCTTGGGTAAGTCACTTAACCCCAATTGCCTCAAAAAAAAAAAGTAGAAATTTACTAAAAAAGAAAACAATGACAAAACAAAGTTCAAGGGACAGACAAGTATGAACAGAATCTAATGATTTTTTAATTAAAAAAAAAGTAGAGGCTAAATGCCTACACGCACGTGTATAAAATGTGAGAATAAGTAATAAATGTAAAGATCAATTTGAGAGATTTCAATGGGACCTGCAAATTACCTTGAGGCACCTGAAGAAGCTGGCTGCGCCATTCTGAATGAACTCTGCAATAAAGAAGGGGAAGTTAAATTTACGATTGCCAAGCATGATCACCAAATTCTATTAAATTTAGATTTCCAAGTATTGGGGGAAATGTCAAAAAGAGCGGGATAAAGACAGTAAGCTGTGATATACCTTAAAATGTTCATTAAGGGTCCGAGAATACTTTATTGCGGCGTCTTTCTTACAACGAAACATTGCCATGTAAAGAATGGACTGACAACGCATGCTATGTATAAAAAGAGAACACAGATGAGCTGACTAATGCAATTTAAAAATAGATCAAGGCTACAGAATGCAAGCTCAAGACACATGGCCACTTACAGAACAATATAACATTATGTATGTATAACTTTTTTGGTAAAGAAAATACTATAGAGGAAACATAACTTAGGGAAGAAAATTTATGTGCATGTATTGTGTCTGCTAGGGATATCACAAAAAGAAAATTTATTGTAAGAAATAGCTAATATTTAAATATATATCTAATGAGATTTATATAAATATAAAAGAAATACTTATTAAATGCATTACATACTATTTAAAACAAAGTATAAACCATTTGGCTAACAGTCAGTTCACGAACTTTGACCATGTCCTAAAGCATTTTAATTTTTAAGCATTTAATTTAATTTAACCCTTTAAGGTTAATTCATTAGCCTAATATTATTCTTTATAATATACTATCTTTCAAGGAAAATTCTTTTAAAGCCCTTAATTAAATTTTTGAAAAAAATTTTCTTTACCACTTAGTATATAAAAATTAAAGTTTAACAGGCCTTCAAATGATGCAAAAATGATCCTAAGCAACATATATAATGAAAAAAGTACATACCATAAAACAATGAAAATTTTCTCCTGTGTAGATGTTGGGGAATCTGGAAAGGATTTTAATGATAGTATGAATCTGTAAAGAAGCAGAAAAATATACCCAGTGAGTTAGGAAAGCCAAACACAAACCTCATCATATTGGATTTTCCTAGAGGCAACACTGAAGGCAGGTTGAGAGAAAGGCAACAAAATTGAAAATCAATGGAGTCAAGTATTGGCCCAGTTTTTGACATAGTCAAAGTTGATCTCTCTCTGTTTGTGGCTCTGGGGAGAGAGAGGCAAGGGGAGGGAGAAGGAAAGGAAGGGAAGGGAAAGGAAGAAAAGGGAAGGGAAGGAAAAGGAATAAGCATTTATATAGTGCCTACTTGGTGCCAGACATTGTGCTAACAACATTGTGCTCATCACAACAATACTGCAAGATGGCTGATGTCATGAGGAAACTAAGGCAAACAGGCTATGTGTCTTGCTGCGGGTCACACAATAAGTATTTATTAATAAGTGTATGAAGGTAGGGATTTGAACTCAAGTCTTCCTGACTCCCAAGTACAATGCTCTCTAAGCACTACACAACCTTGATGCCTATGGGCCCCTGGGAGGAGAAATACCATGTAAACTAGGTATCCCCCAAGCTCTGTAATTTTGATATTTCCATGTAAATACATAGCTTAATACTTTTTCATACAAGGCACAGATGTTTTGTGTTTCAAAAGTATCTAGATACTACTTTGATGAATTAAAAAACACCTTAAAGTGTAATGAAATTTTTTTTTGTCAGCATGTATATTTTAAATTATAACACTAGTATGACTACTACAATATGGCAGTCCATGACATTTACTTATATGAAAAAAAAGTCTATATAGTCTTAGGTGCTTAATAATGTTGACTGATTAAAAAACTACTGGTTTAAGCCATTCAAAAAACTAAATGAGGAAGCATTTCACTCTGACTATGACTGCCCGAGGTAATTCAATCCAAGGCTAACGAACTACTACGTTAAAGAGAAGAAAACTAGATTTGCTGATCTCATGATAAGAGGTGGGATTTCACAGAATAGTTGTCCAAACTCTCCATTACCTTTTGCATAGAGATGGTATTTTCATTCCTTGAACACTAAAGTTCAGGGATTGTATAACATTCTTGAAGTAAGATACCAGGGAAAGTCACTTTCTGATAAAGTTCAAGTGTGTTAAAGTAAACATAAGAGAGAGAAGAGGAAAGATGTGCCAAAGTTACTATACTTACTTAATGAAATCTACGGTGTCTGAAAACATGGAGTAAACAGACTTGGATGTCGGACTTTCAGATTCTAAAGCAATTCCACATTCAATAAAGGATAGGACAGCATCCAAATACTTAAATGCTTTTCCAACCTTGTCTGACTGTAGAGGGAAAAGAAACCATAGTCACTGTTAGGCTGAATACAGACTGACTTCTTCTTTTTTTTTTTTTTTAAAGGCAATTGGGGTTAAGTGACTTGCCCTGGGTCACACGGCTAGTAAGTGTCAAGTGTTTGGTCTGAGGCTGGATTTGAACTCAGGTCCTCCTGACTTCAGGGCTGGTGCTCTATCCACTGTGCCACCTAGCTGCCCCCAGAATGACTTTTAATGCTATATCAATCAAATTGCCAACTGGATACTTTACACAACTTGATAAAATAATAACAAAACTTATTTGAAAAAAGAAAAGATCTAGACTATCATAGGAAATGATGACAAAAGTAGGGATGAAGTCAGAAAAGCATGTCCAGACCTTCATGTTATAAAGGAACAGTCATCAAAGCTAGGGCACAAAATGGAAATAGAAAAACTCCACTGGTTACCTCCTGAAAGAAACCCTAAAATGAAAACTCAGGAAAGTCATAATCAAAACTCTGGGCTTTCTGGTCATAGAAAAAATGGTACAAGCAGTCATAAAGAAAAAATTCAAGTACTGAGGAGGCACAGTCAGTCACACCTAATTTAGCATCTTCCACTATAAAGAAGTTAGAACTCAAAATACATCAAGAGGAAAAGGATAGGGGGCTTATGACCAAAAAACTGACCCAGCAAACTTGATTATAATATTACAGGGATATAATGGAGACTTTCAATGAATCAGAGGACTTCCTTATGAAAACAAGAGAGCTGTGTAGAAACGTTGAAGTTCAAGCACAGAAGGGAAGAAAAGCACAAAAAGGCAAACATGAATGAACAATGATAAATTCCTACATTCACATATGTGGAGATGACACGTCTCCTCACAACCTCGTCATCATTAGAAGTCAAAAGAACGTCCATTAAACAAAGTCTGAGAGTGGTTCTGTTAAGTGTCACTGATCTTAAGAAAAGAAAGAAAAGAGGGATATACTGAGATGGAAGGGAAACGAAATTCAGGGAAAATTATCACACATGATCAGAGTGCAGAAGTAAACGTCCATACACATGAGGGTTTGAGGGGAGTGGCTGACACTTCAACCTCACTTTCATTTGAACTGGTCAAAAGAACATACACACACAGCTGGGTACAGACATACATTTCACTCAAAAGAAAAAAGGAAGGAAAGGGGGAGGAGGAATTAGATGGAGGTAAGATTAAGGGACAGATTAGTCCTAAGAAATCAAAGATGCATAAACATATTTATAGCTTTTATTTAAGGTGGTAAAGAATGAGAATCCAAGGGGGTGCCCATAGATTGAGAAATCAGTGAACGGGTTATGATATATAAATATGACAGAATACTACTGTGCTAAATTCTTACCACTTTACTGACCAACCATAATTCCAAAGGACTAATGATAAAGCATGCTACACATCTTCTGACAGAGAGGTGAAATAAGATTTAGAGTGCAGAATAAGATCTTTTTTTTTTTTCGGACATGACCTATGTGGAAATTTGTTCTGATTAACTATACGTGTTTGTAATGGTTTTGTTTTCCTCATATTCTCAACTAAGGAAGGGGCAGGTAATAAGATAGATTTTGGATGATTAAAACAAATAAGACATTTAAATTGAAAAAAAAATCAAAAGATTGAAAAAAATGGAAGAAAATCTAATTTTTGATCTAATATCAAAAACAACCAACCTAGAATACAATTCAGGGAGAAATCCCTCATACACCTGTATTTTTCATACTTAAATGTTTTAAAACCATAAGTTTAAAAAAAAAGAGCTAAAATCTTACTGAAGTAATCTCCAATTATCATATACCTTTAGAAATTATCGTGGTACTTGGGAACAGAATGGAAACACAAACTTCATTCAGAAACGCCATCATGGCCACAAGAACTCAAAAGAACCTTTAATTAGTTATGCTCATATTAAATTCTGACCATACCAAGAGCTAAAAACAAAGACCTCGTACTAAGAGGAATACTTTAAAAATGATTTGGTCCTATCATGTGCATAATTGTCTGCTTCTTAATGATTAAGAATCTTAATCATTAGGCTCTCCAAAAATCATGATTAAAAAAAAAAAAGATTGGATGCTATATTTCAAGGAATCCTAAATGAAAACTGCCAAGATCTGTTAGAACCAGAGGACAAAGTAAAGACAGAAAGAAATTATTAGCCACCTCCTGAAGAAAAAAAAAAGCCACGAGGAAAACCCCAAAGAAAATGAAAGTCAAGATCTAGAATTTTCACATTAAAGAAAAAATACTGCAAGAATTCAGAAAGAAGCAATTCTAGCACAAAGGAACTAGACCTGGAAGCTTCTACTTTAAGTAAGAGGAATGTCTGGAATACAGGGTTCCAAAAAACAAGATATGGGTTTATAATTCTGCAAAGTTGAGTATAATTCTACAGAGGAAAAAAAATATTTTAATAGAAGAAGATTTTTAAGCATTTCTAGTGAAAAGACCAGAACTAAGTAAGATCTGTGAAATGCAAAAACAAGAGTCAGGAGAAACCTAGAAAGGTAAATTTATCTGAGGAATTAGAAGGGGCTATGAAATGACATAATGCTAATGTTCTAACAGGGGAAAAGAAACAGGTGTCCCTTCAGAACTTTCATGTCTTCAAAGGTTGTTGAGGGAATTAAATAAGAAAAACAGACGACCTAGGGATAAACTGGTTCTGTTCTGGGGGTTTTAAGAGAAGATAAAGGAGCAATTTAGTTTAGAAAACATTAGTTTGAAAAATGAGTTTAAAAATTTAGTTGAGAAAGTAGGAAAAAGAAGGTGGACCTTCATAATTGAGATCATGTGAGAAGAGTAACACACAGAAATGGAAGAAAGCAGGAGCATCAGACGAGCCTCACTATCAGAACTGGACAAAGGAGGGCTGAACACAGAAACATGCAGACACATTTGCACAACTAAACAAGGAAATGTATATAAAAAAATCAAAATGCATTTCTGATTAGCCATGTCCAAAAAAACGTCTCATTCAGTATTCTGAATCTTTCACCTCTCTGTCAGGAGGAGGTGGGACAGCGTGTTTCGTCATTTGTCCTCTGGAATCATGTTTAGTCATTATGATGATCAGAGTTCCTAATTCTTTCAAATTTCTGTCTTTATGATACGGTATCATTATTATAAACTGTACTCTGGGTTTTGTTCCTCACTCTCACCAAGTCATACAAGTCTTCCCAGGTTTTTCTAAAAGCATCCTTTCATCATTTTTATGGCACAACAGTATTCTATCATATTTATATACTATAACTTGTTAAGATATTTCCCAGTTGATCACCACTGCCACAGTCCCATTCTTTGCTGCTTCAAAAAGAGCTATAAACATTTTTGAGTTTGTTTCACTTAGGACTAATCCTTCCTTTATTCTACCCTCCCTATAATACCCCACCTCGCTTCTTCTCTTACCCTCCTATTGCCATGTTGAGTAAAATGTATTTCTGAACCCAACTGTTTTTGTGTGTGCATTCTTCTACCCTTTGACTAGTTCAGATAAGAGTGAGGTTCCAGTACCAGTCACTCCCCCCACACCCTTATCCTTTTTTATACAGATGTCTACAAGGGCTCCCTGCTTATGTGAGATAATTCTCCCTTACCTTCCTTTCTCATACCCCCAATGTATTATTCCTCTTCTGCTTGCTATCCATTCTTAAAATCATCAAGGCATGAGGATGACTCTGAGCCCTTGTCTAATTAGACTTCCTCTATGACACCTAACATTTATAGGGCTCAGAAGGTTAATGTATCATCTCTCAATATTAGAATGTAAGCAGTTTATTTCTTTTTAATACAACACCAGTGTTCATTCATGTTGACCTTTTTATGTTTCTCTTAATTCCTGTGTTTGAACTTCAAAGTTTCTACATAGCTCGGGTCTACTCACCAGGAATGCTTGGAAATCCTCTATTTCATTAAAAATCCGTTTTTCCGCTGAAATCAATATCCTTAGTTCTGCTGGATAAATTATGCTTTGTCTATTTGCTCTGCCATTCATGAAAACCATACTGCAAGATCCAATCCTTTGGAGTGGAAGTTGCTAAATCATGTGTGATTTAGATTGTGGCTTCTCAGTACTTGAATTTGTTCTTTCTGGCTCCTTGCAGTATTTCTTCTTTGATATGGAAGCTCTGAATTCCCTTTTGGAACTAAACACCTTGAAAAGTTCATCTACAATCATGGCCTCTCTAGCTTTTCTCTCTCAACTCTTTACAGTCTGGCTTCTGATCTCATCATGAAACTGAAAACTTCTCTCACTTAAAACTTCCAATGTTATCTCTTAAATGCCCAAATCTAATTTCCATCCCCATTTCTGATCTTTCTTGACCTCTCTGCAGCCTCTGACATTGTTGACCACTCTTTTCTCCGTCATACTCTCCTGGTGTGTTTATGATATTATACTGACCAGTCCATCTGAGTCTCCTTTATTGGAATTTCATACAGTCACGCCTGCTAAGTGTAGGTATCCCCTAAGAGTCCTGGACCCTCTGCTCTTCTCACATTATTTACTGTATTTGGTAATCTTATCCTAGCTCCCATGGATTTAATTATCATCTCTACGCAAACAATTCTCAGATCTATTTGTCCATCCGTAATCATTCTTCTGACTTCCTCTCTCAAATCTCCAACTGACTAATGGATATCTCAGATTTGATGTCCAGTTAAACTTAACCTCAACATGTCCAAAACTGAATTTACTGTCTTTTCCTCAGAACCGTTTCCACCGCCTAACCTCCCCATACCTGGCAAGGGTACCACCCAATCAGTCATCCGGTCACCCAGGCTCGCATCCTTGGCTATTCATTCTCTCTCCATGCCCCTCCCCTACCTAATCAATGGTCAAGTCTTGATGTTTATACCTTTCTAACAACTCTTGTACTTCCTTCTTCCAACACTGAGCACCATGAAGCAGGTCTTCACCTCATACGTGAACTATGGAAATAACCGCTGGTTGGTCTCTTCCACTCCCAGTCATCCATTCTCTACTCGGCTTTCAAATTGCTCTTCCTAAAGCACAGGTCTGACCATATCATCCCCTTATCCAAGAAACTAATAGCTCTCTATTGCCTCCAGGATCAAATATAAAAATCCTATATTTGGTATTTAAAGTCCTAAGTGGCACAGTGGATGGATCACTGCCGGGCCCAGAGTCAGCTTCCTGAGTTAAAATCTGGCCTCAGACACTTATGAGCTTTGTGACCCTGGGCAAGTCACAATCCAATGTCTGCCTCAGTTTCCTCACTTGTAAAAGGAGCTGGAGAAAGAAATGGCAAACCACTCCAGTATCTTAGCCAAGAAAACCCCAAATGGGGTCATGAAGAGTTAGACATGACTGAAAAATGACTGAATGAAAAAAATGAAAATCTGGCCCACTCTTACTATTCTGGTCTCCTTATTCTCGCCTTACTGACTGCCCTTTCTGTATAATGCAGCGACACTGGCCCTTTTGCTATTCCTTGCATACCCTCTTGACTCCACGCTGATTCACTGGCTACTGACCATCGCTGAAATTTTCTTTTTCTTCATCTTGGCCTCTTGGCTTCTTTAAGACTCACCTCAAATTCTACCTTTTGCAAGTCTTCTCCTGATACTCCTTAATGCCTTTCCTCTGTTGATTATTTCCAATTTGTCCTGATTTGTATATAATTGTTTGTATGTGGTTTCACCCATTAGATTTTGAGCTACATGAAAGCTAGGACCTTTTTGGGGGGTGGGAGAGGCTTTTTTTTTAATCCCCAGGTGCTTAATATATGTTTGTTATCTTGACTCTTAAAAATTCTAGCATGATCAGAATCACTCCTGAATGAAAACTACTTTAGGAAACTAACTAATTTTTAGGGTGTGCATGACCTGGGGGCCAAGATCCACAGTGGATCAGAATAAAAAATTTCCTTGACGATCAGATCATTTCACATACATAGTAAACAAGAGATACTTGTTTAACTGAATTGGTCCCATACTCAGATTTACCCTGGCTTTTTCAGATTGGAGTTGGCTTAGAGCCAGTCCAGAACCTTTGCTTGCGTAGTAATTTAGATTTGTACTCAGACGAGCCTTCTAGACATTTGAATTGAAAGACATAATTGATTATTGAATAAAAAATGATTAGGGAGTTCCCTGACTTTTCCCAAAAATTTATCCCACCTAGACCATCTTATCTAGGTGGAGATGTTGTGCCTCACTCAACTAGAAACCCTTACAAAGAATTTAACCTAAGGTGAATTCTAGCCCGTAGTGTTCAACTCGGGCAGTGGAGTTTGGAGTGGGGAGAGAAGATCCTTTGTCTAGCCTGCCTGAGGCTGGGAGTAATTTGGAAGTAAATGACATGATCAAAGTCACTGTCTCCCCAACCCCTCATTGGAACAGGTCCACCTCTCATTATAATATTCATTCTCTCTTATTACTTGTTAACCAGAATTGATTGCTACCCTCAGGTATAACCACTCTTTCAAGGGCATACAAACATTGAGTAGATTCCACAAGGGGTCTCTGGCATTCTAGAGTATCACTGACCCCTTTTCTTAATGATATGCTAGCATGATTAATAAAATGATTAATTACCCAGAAACCATGTCTCTCAAACTCTTTATAGTCACAGAAAAATGAAATTTTGGAGCTGCAGATAATGGGATAAAGAAAAAAAAATATGTGCACATTTAAAAAAAAAATCAAGGACATAAAATTTGTCAGTAATTTTGTTCTAAAAATTTGTACTTTCGACAAATGTCCATGTAAATCTAGAGTAAATCGAGTCTAAAGAAATGTATTCCATTATAATCTTCACTAGCACTTGGGCTAAAAAATGACTAAAGGCACTCAATGCTTTAGAACAGAAAAAAACGGCCAGAAGAAAAGAGCGAAGAGAAGAACACGCACCATTGACTCAGCCTTGTGCTTCAACTTTTTGGCTTCCTTCAGGTGAAAATCAGCAACATGTCTGACAGGGAGAGAAAAAACAAACGAGTCCACAGAAAAATGTACTGAGGTGAATTCTGAGGCTGACTTGAAAAATCCCAAACAACTCAAATTCTTACTTTTCAAACTTGACTTGATGCTTCGTGAGTTTGGAGTTACCATTGGGCAAAGAAGGCACAGGAAAAAGATCACCTGGAGACACCTAGAAAAATGATAATACAGATTAGAATTCAATATTTCAAGCTGAAGAGTTCTAAAACCAATCTTAAGAACTGAAAAAGTAAAAAGGTGAAATTAAGGACAAAATAAAGTGGCTACATCCAAGCACTGATTTTTCTGATCACTAAAAATTCATAGCCTATTGATTCTTTATGTTCCTGTCTGCCCAAAAGACATGACATCCAATTTAACAGCACAGCGACCACTAAAATCTTCTAGTCAGTTACAAATAGGATCATTCTCACCATCTATCTCTCTTCCTCCCTTTTCCTTTTAATCAAATACTAAAATAATAGCAAATTTAAGATAAGGATGAAGTGTGGAAAATATCTTGAATGTATCCATAAAACAAAATGAGTAAAAAATGAGTTGCAAATCACTAAATCATGAACTAAAACCCAGCTTTTTTTTAAAAAAAAGAAGGAAAAAAAATTGAAATCAACTAAGGGACAAGAATTCTTTGCAGTATCAGGAAGGTTGGAAAGATAGTAAGACCCAAAGGTAAAGATAGCTTACAAGCAGCTCTGTCTTCTATCTCAAACATGAGGCAAATACACTAGCACAATGCAAGTATGAGGAGGGATTACCTGCATCCAGAGAAATAACACATTACAAGGTCCATGGAAAACCAATCAAGAAATAAAAGGAAAGCTTGGAATGATTTTCTGAAGAGTAGAAGATAGTAGTTGGTACCCCTAAAACAATGCTAAAGGCTAAACCTCAAAGAAATAATTGTACTTTCCATAAAAGGGAAAAATTATATATTACTCCTTCCAAAGTGCCCAGAGTTCAGCAGAGTATTTAATATGCAAGTTGACCAAACAGTGGAAAGTAATGAAAGAAGATAAAATGAAATTCATTTGGCTAAAGGCAGACAAGGACCATGAAGGTGGGGTATAAGATCTTTTTGAAACAATGAATTAATGTTATATTTTAAGGGGAAAATCTCTCATTGTGGGGTAAAGGGGGAATAATGCCTATGATTTCATTAGTACAGGGAATTCTGGGTGAGGAAACTCTCTGTACCTGCTTTACAATTTAGTTTTATAGAAATGCTGTCTGGGACACCAAGAGGCAAAATTTGAATTGAAGACTCCCTGACAGCAAAGTCGATTCTCTATCCACTAAACCACATTGCCTTTCAATTCTCATTAAAAATCAAGTGCATGAGATGATACAGAAAACTTTTCTTGGATAGAGGGAAAGGGTGGCCCAGGTAACAACTGGTAGGACTTTAGAGGCAAGGTAGCTGACAGGCTTTCAAATTTTCCCTGTCCCTTTGGGATGGTAGGAAGGTACAGTTTGCAAAGAGCAGAGGGATTGGGTACAAAAATCAAAAAGGGCTTGACCTTGACAATGACATCAAGCAACTACCACAGATGTAGTAGGGAACTGAGGTAGCTACATCGTGGAGATTGTCAAACTTGGGGGAAGACTTGGGTAAAAATCCTCCCTTAGACAGTTAACTCATCTGTAAAATGCAGCTAATAATAGCATCTATTTCAAAAGGTTGTTGTGAGGTGACATATAAAAGGGGATGATATAAGGCCCTTAACACTAATATTTTTAGGGGGTTTCTACACTAAAGGTGATCAGCACCTACAGGGCAGTTAAAAAACTAACTCCCACTATCATAGGGATTCTTCACCTTTTTTTGTGTCTTTGATAAAGGCTTTGAACCTTTCTCAAAATAATGTTTTTAAACAGTTTTTTCATAAAATTCATAAAATATGTAGCATTACAAAGAACACCCACTATGTCTAAATATATTAGCTTAGTGTTATAATTTTGATAACTATATTCAATTATCAAAAAATATTTTAAGTTCATGGATAAAAGGTTAAGAACCTACTAGAGGGAAATAACTGGCCATCTGGGAATGATTAGAAGAGACAAATGATCAAAGATTCAAAGGGAGGATGATAAAGGATAAGCCAAAAAAAAAAAAAGGACAAAAAACAGCAACAGGTCTTCAGACCTAGAGTCACAAAACCACTGGCCCCTGAATTCTGCTGCCTCCATTGAGAATTAATATTCCTGGGAAAAGATTCTGGAGCAGTTCTTAAAGTGGGGTCTATCAACCTAGGGAACAAACATTATTGTCAAAGCACCATAGCTTGGGGGCAGCGAGGTGGTGCAGTAGATAGAGCTCTGGCCTTGGAGTCAGAAGGACCTGAGTTCAAATCCGACCTCAGACACTTGACACTTACTAGCTGTGTGACCCTGGGCAAGTCACTTAACCCCAACTGCCTCATTAAAAAAAAAAAAAGCACCATAGCTTGACAATAAAAAATTGGCTATGTTAAATAAATAGTCATGTCACAAAGGTTAACTTTTAAAGCTGCTGATAAACAACAGAATAATGGTAGGAAAATATTCCCTTCTCAGAGCTAGACAAATCAAAAAGACAAATACAAAAGGAAAAGGAAAATACAGAGCTGAATAAATTATTTTAAAAAGTAGATATGACTAATTTAAGGTGTTTTTTCAAAGGGATTATTCAAGAATATTTTTCCCAGCATTCCATGGATCTTTTATAAACACTGCCCAATAAAGGAATTGTCTTTTACAGACTGTAAGGAAACAAAAATAAAAAATACAGGAACAAGGAGCATATGATACAGACCTAAATACAAACTTATTAATGACATCCTGAATAACGACTGGATGAAAAAACAAACCACAGAAACAATAAATGTCAAAAACAATAACAATGAAAATATTACAAATTTATTCACCCTGGGTGATAAATGAGCAATAGGCAATTTTATTTGCTCTTATGGAAAAAAAAATTAAAATTTTGTGTACCTCCCTCACCTTTTGCTATGTCTGACCACATTTCAACATTCAAAGTGAAGTACAGAATGAAGAGAGCATCCAAATAATTTTTTTAAATTTCAAATACTGTTAATTATCTTGTATCAATTTATAAAATACAGCAAATTTTCAGAATATTTCAGATATCTTATTGGGGGCAAGGAGAGGAAATGTGCTTAATTCTCAAGATTACAGAAGAACCCTCAGATTCAAATCAAAGTTCAGATATTTTTAGTTTGGCCTTTCAAAAAAATGAGGGTGTGTTGGATGGGGAAAAGGGCAGCAAGGAAATTAAAAGCTATTAATATTCAAACATTAGAGCACAGTAGTATGGGAAGACATGCGAAAACATGTATAGGATACAAATGTTAGACAGAACAAGAATGGTTCCCCAATTTGTGGTCCAGGATCTGCAACCAGAGAACCTAGGTTACCATGCCATCTGCAATAAATCACTTAACCTTCTTGGCTTTCATTATCCTTATTTATAAAATGAAAGGACTGGATTACATGGCCGCTGAGGAACTTTCTTCTTCCAGATCTGTGATTCTGAAAACTCAGTTTTTAAAGGATATGGACAGACACATTTCCCAAAGAAATGTAAGATAGCTAAACCATATAAATGATCGCTTCAAACCACCAATAATGAGGGAAATGGAAATAAAAAGAGCTGAGGCTTCACTTTATACTCATCAGCTTGGCAAAGAAGACAGATACGGTTTATGTCGGAGGGCTGTGAGAAGACAGGCACACCAATGCACCCCTGGTGGACTTGTACATTTGTCCAATCATTCTGGAAAACAACTTGGAATTGCATGAGAAAAGTCACTCTAAACTGTACATATCCTTTGATCTGACGATATTACTAGTGCAATATCCCAAGGAGGTAAAAAAGGAGAGGTTTCTACAGATATGTTTAGTAGCAGAGAACTGGATGGGGCACGTGGGACAGTTGAACAAAATGAGGTCTATGAATATAACTGAATATTACTACATGAAAGAAATGATGAATTAGATGAGATCAGAGAAACTTGGTAAGATTTTTATAGAATCGAATAGGGTAAAATAAGGCAAACCACAAGAACAACACCATTGCAATAATGTAAAGAAAAACAATACTATGACTTTTGAACACAGATAAACGTAAACTCTAATTGTGACTATAAAGGACTGAAGGGGGAGCATTTCTCTAGTTTTCTGGCGAAGAAAAGGTAGATAGAACTGGACATTTCCAGACGTGTGTTGATGTGTTTTGCTAACAGTACTTACTGGTTACAAAGAAGAGGTCTTAGGGGATGAGGAGAGTCACTGGAAGGTGACAGTGGTGTTTTTCAAAAAGAAAAGGGCATCAATAAAACACTGAAAATGGAAAAATATTTATAGACTCAAGATTTGATTTCTTACTTTCCAAAAGTTATTTCAATCAAGTTTAAAAGTTGAGACTTGTAAGGGCAGTTTTGACAGTTAACATGTTGAATTTATTATATGTTTTAAAAGAAAAGCAAGCAGTTAGGTAGTACAGTGTATAGAGCACTGGCCCTAGAGCCAGGAAGACTGGAATGCAAATTCATCCTCAGACACTTACTAGCCATGTGACTCAGGGCAAGTCACTTAACCCTAACCGCCCTCCCCCCAACCAAAAAAAAAAAAAAAAAAGATTTGTATAATCATCTCTCTGTTCTACTCTTATTGGGAAACAATCATTCTAGTTGACATTTGTTAAGTTCAAAATTTTTAAAATGAGGAAAAGAAGAGCTGAAGCTTAGAAAGAATTGACTGGGAGGAAAAATCTCTGTGACATATAATAAAAGTCATTCCCCAATAAATATGTGGTCAAAGGATATGAATAAAGAGTTCTCAAATGAAGAATTGTAAACTATTAACAACCATATAGAAGAATGTTTCAAGTCACTAATAAGAGAACACACCCCCCTGCCCCCTCATGGATTCATTTTATACCCATTAAGCTGACAAGGATAACAAAAAAAATAATAATAATAGTTCGATTTAGAAGGGTTGTGAAAAGATGGGCATAGTAATGTATGGTTGGTAAAGCTATGAAATGGAACTATCATTCTAGAAAGCAATTTGGAATTATGCAAAGAAAGTGCCTAAAATATTTAAGCACTTTTGACCTAGAGAGTACCATGTGAGGTATATACACAAGGAGGTTAATGATTTAAAAATAAAATAAAGACTGCATATACAATAGCACTTTTTATGGTAACAAAGAACTGAAAACAAAGTAAATGATCATTGATTAGGGAACGCTACAAAAATTGTGCTACATGAACGGTGGGGAGTATTTCAATGCTGTGAGAAACAATGTAACAGAAGCATAGAATTGATTCAAAGGGAAGTAAGCAGAATTTGGAAAACAATATACACAATGAGTATAAAATGGAATGGACAGAATAGCAACAAACCACTTAAAACTAAATGTTTCAAAATTACATTGAACCAGCTGATCACCAAAGAAAAGGTAAGAGAAAATATCTCCTCATAATTGTTTGCAAAAGTGAAAGACAATAGATATGGAATATTGCATACAGAAGACATTTTTTGATATGCTGGTTACTTTTGCTAAATTTAATTTCATTAAGAGATGTAAGAGATGGCTTTTTCTGGGACGGAGAGGGAAGTGGGATACCACAAATGATGTAAAAGCAAAATGATATCCATTTGTAAAGAGTTAAGCCTTGAATAGCAGTATATCCCTAAAAACCTATTTTCCAAATGAAGGACTCACAATGCATTTCAATCAATTGAATAGCTTGTGCATGATTTTAAGTAGTCTCTGTGATGTGTATCTTTTACCATACTGTAATGTAAACCTACAGCTTTCAACTAAAAAAATCTGCCAGATAACGTGGAAATGTGACAGACAACCTGACTAAACACAGTGTCAAAAAGGTTGGTATACTTAAATTTGAGAAATTTAAATAGGTATGTATATAACAACATGTGTATATAACATGTAATGTGTATATAAAATAATACATAACAACATATACTCATGTACAGAGGTTTGATATTTTTTTAAACAAATATACAAATATTTAAACAAATATTCAAAGAAAATCTACCATTAACTGGATTTCAGTATTTCATTATTTCTATACTCACTTTATTACTTGTAGAATTTCCAGAAGGCTTTCCTTCCACTTTCTTATACTTAGAAGAAGAAGAATCTTTATGGCTATCTTTAGTGGTGCTAGTACTTTTGGAGTGCCCCTGAACACAAGAGTGGCTTTCATTCCTTGGTCTTTTATGTACATTCTTGGCTGGTCTGTGGGAAGGAGACACAGATGGTGGTGGCGGTAGCTCCTTCTTCAGCAAGTCTGAGGAGGGCTTCGACAATCTGGAGAAGAATACCACACTAAATTAAATTTGGCTATAACATCAATTACATGACCATTACTTATATTCATACTTAAATTAAGAAAAAGTTACCAGTATCACAATGATTTTGTTCAGTTAAACAAGATGGAGAGAATGAGGGGAAAAAAACCAGTAAGAAGTCTTAGCTATATCATGATTTAAATATGCAAATAAAGACAAATAGGAATCTATTAGGAGTAAAAGGAACTTTCAGGGAATTTCTGTTGCCTTTGAAAACCTAATCTTAAAACAATTTAGAATTATGTTTTAAAAAAAAATTACCCTCTAACTGAGACCCCACACCTAGTATATGCCTCAAGGAGGTCAAAGATAGATTTAAAAGGTCTTATGTACACCAAAATATTCATAGCATGACTTTTTATTGCGGCAAAGAGCTTGGAACGAAGGAGATGCCCACTGAGTGGGAAATAGATAAACAAAATATAGTGAAGGAATATAATGGAATATTAGTATACCATCTGAAATAATAAATATAATGAATTCAGAGAAGCATGAGAAAACATATCAACTGATGCAGAGTGAAGTAAGAAGAGCCCAGACAATAATATACACAGTTTCTATAACAACAGAAATGGAAGAACAATAGCAACATTGTAATCGAAATCACCAAATGAGATGGAAAGGGTGGGAGGGGGGATTGAGGAAAGGGGAAGAGAGAGAGGAAGAGATGGGGGGAGAGAGAAAGGGAAAGGGAGAGGGAGAGGGAGAGGAAGAGAGAGGGGGAGAGAGAGAGAGAGAGAGAGAGAGAGAGAGAGAGAGAGAGAGAGAGAGAAGAGAAAGGCATTACCTGACTAATGCATATAAATAAGTTAAAATACCATTTCATTATTAGAAAAGCCTAGGTTACCACTTAACAATAATAGTAGCTTATGGAGAAGGTACAAAGTCTGTTATACAGTGAATATAGCCACAGATTTCATTCCCAAGTTCTTCCTGTGTGACCCTTAAAGTAACTCAGAAAGTCTGAAGCGTGATTCAAATCTATAGCGCTTTTATTTATGAAGAAAGTTCTTACAACTTTGAGAGATTCTGATAATTAATAGAAAAGTATCATTGTGGAAGTGAAAAACATAGGTGATAATCTTCACATAATAGCTGTGTTAACATTAAAAAAAATCAACATCTTCTTCTAACTTTTACAGTGGTGAAATGGAATAATGCCACTATTTACTGCTGTTACCTAACAGGGAGGTTCTAAATAAGATGGGAGAACAATTATGAAAGGGTAGTAACTAGTTCTAGCCATACACAAATAAGCCAATCTTAGATCTAAGTGTCTGGGGCATTTCTCCCCGGATATGTTCCAACCCGTACTTCAAACACAACAAACTTCCAAACGAATTTCTACCACATTGGCTCCTCTTCCTAACTTCCATATTTATAACACTGGCACCCATAAATTTCTAGTAAGCTAGGCTAGAAACCTTTGTATCATAGCTGGCTACTCCCTCTTCTTACATATTTATTTAGTTACCATGTCCAAACAAATCCCTCCTCCAAATCTCTCTACTCTTTCTCCTCCTCCACTGTTCGTGCACTAACTCGGCCTTTTGTTGCTTCCTGTCTTAACTACTGCAGTATGTTCCCAACTGATCTCCCTGCTTATAATCTGCTCCCCATCAAAAATATTTTATAGGGGGCAACTAGGTGGCCCAGTGAATAGAGCACTGGTCCTGAAGTCAGGAGGACCTGAGTTCAAATCCGGCCTCAGACCAAACACTTGACTCTTACTAGCTGTGTGACCCTGGGCAAGTCACTTAACCCCAATTGCCTAATTTAAAAAAAAAACCACTATAAATAAAAATATCTTATAAACACTGCTGTACTCTCCTAAATCACAACTCTAAGCATGTTACTCCCTTGTTCAAAACCCTTTAAAGGTTTCCTATTGCCCAAATAAAGTCCCAGCCACTTAGCCACTCACTGTAGGTTCTCTATAGTCTAGAAGGCCCAAACCATCTTACTGAAATTATCTTCCAAAACTTCTCCCTTCACAAACTCTCTTCTCCAGAACTCAAGCGCTCCTCTTCACACTTACCTTTTATTTGCTGCTCAGAAAGAGCCCCAAAATATCTACTTTTTGAAATCTCTCAAGGGCTAAATCAAATGCTGCCACCTCAATGAATATGCCTGTGATTCAGCCCTATCTCCTTCAATTTGGAAGCAATTTCTTTCTCCTTTATGCACCATCCCTAGCATTCTGTCTGTTTCTTCTCTATAAACATCAGAGACAAGACCAGGTCCTTTGACTCAAGAGCTGAGGTTCTTAACCTTGGGTCTGTGGATTTTTTTTTTAATTTTGGTAACTGCATTTCATATAATTAGTTTCCTTTTGTAATTATATGTTTTATTAATTTCAAAACATTATTTTTGATAAGCGATCCATATACTTCACCAGACTGCCTAAGAGAGGTCAATAACACAAAAAGGTACCATGCTGCCTCATTATATGAACTGAAGCTACAAGGAGAGGGAGAATTTGGACAGATTCAAAAAAGAGGCATTTAAGAAAGAGGACAAAGCATAAACAAGGCATAAACATAGCAAAGTTTTGGGTACATTTAGGGGAGCTGTCTAGCTTGACTAGTTATAGCAGAAACTGTGTGGAGTGGTGCCCTGATGGACTAAGCTGGGAGAGTGGGGTGGGGCCAGGGAAGGAAGGGCTTGAATAGGCGGCTAAAGTGTTTAGATTTGCTTATACGATAGGGAATCTTTGAGAGTTCTTAAAGAAGAGTATTACAAATAGTATTGTACTTTAGAAGGATAATTCTGATAGATTTGTACAGAACGGATTGGCAGGGAGACTTGTCAACCCCTTAAATTAACTGTCCAGATGAAAGGTAATGAGGGCTAAACAGTGGTAATAGGAGTAAAAAGAGAGGTCAGAATATACAGTCAATTTTTTTAAAAATGTCTAAATACTAGAAAAAATATTAATAACACCTAGAATGTACAGAGTTTAAAAAAAAGGATAAATCTAAGATATGAATAAATTTTCATTTCTTTAAAAAGGGATTGATTTTGCTTCTGATATTCCCAAATTTACAGCAATGTGAACTGGTAATTCTCATGGAAATATTCTCAGGAAGAAAATAATATCAAGCAAAGGCAATATATATCCAAAATGAGTCACATTCAGCATCTTTTAATGGGTGTTACTATATAATTTCAAACAAATACATTTTCATACATTGTTCTAGATTTAGTCTCCTTAAAACTATGAGCTCTAAGAACAACTAACCTTTTCAGGGGGTGTATTTTATAAGTTTAATAAGGTGTTTGTTGGGGAGCATTATGTGTCAACAAGAAATAATATAACCTCGAAAATGAAAAGAGGAGCTCTATAATAGGATGGGGCTAGGACAACCAATTTTAGGTTTCACAAAATTGAAAACAGGGAAGCCGGTCTAGACAATGTGATCACTTTCACTCTCATTGTGCTCATCTTTACACTGACCTTGTTTTACTAGAGTCTTTGTGAGCAGAAGATGATGACCAGACTTTGGTCTCTTTCTCCAGTTTTATTTTCTTGCCATCAAGGTCTCTTTCTGCTTCTCCCTATGAATGAATTAAAAGAAACTTCTACATCACAGCCTTAAACATACAAGCAAAACAACATAAGGAAAATGCTCAGTACAGGCAAAGTATGAGAACCTTGGGCCAAACCATTCAGATTTTCTGCTTTTCTTTTTAAAATGTCAGTACATACATAGGAAAAAAAATTAAAATCAAACCTCTCAGCATCCCATAATAGGATTAATTCTTTCTCAGGCTTTCAAATATGGGAATTAAGGTGATTGTGATTATTTAACTAGAGGGAATAAAGTTTTTAAGTGTGTAAGAAGCAACTATGTATATGATTATGAAGCTTAACTGATGGTTATTTGCTTTCAATTAAAGCTTTCACGTGAATTAAGAATTTTGGTCAACTTGTATCCCTACCATGATAAGCTGCATCATTGCCCAAGACTTAAAGACTTTTCTGATCAGATCAATGGTGCTATTGATGAATTTGATTTATACTGAATAATGAAATGTGTCAATATTTGAAAAATCTACATAAATTGGCAAATGAATATTTTCCGAATGACCAATGCATAATGTTATAAAATTATGCACGGGTGAAAGATCCATTCAAAGTGCAAAATAGGCCAATGGATATTAATGTAATAGATTAGGGAAAATTCATTAATATGGTTTCAGATTCCATACTGCAGGTAACCTTTAAGAAACACATCATGTTTTGGTCTAACGTCAGGGAAGAATAGTCAGTTCTCTGAAAAACCTTTAAAAATCCTCCTCTTTTTTCCAACTACGTATCAATGTGAGGTTATTCATGAACTTCAGCCAAAACAATAAAAAGCAACAGACTGAGTAGAGAAGCGGATGGAAGGATCCAGCTGTATTCTATTTAGCCAAACATTAAAGAGATCTACAAAAATGTAAAACACTGACATTGCTCAGCAATTTTTTTGAAGTTATTTTTCATAAAAAATTATCGGTTTCACTTTCTAACATGGTAAATGTTGTCAGATAGAACTTATGAAAGTAAAAGATCTTTGGTGGCCTCAATAATTTTGAAGGATATCAAGGGATCTTAAGACCAAAAAAATTTTGAGAACCTCTGCCTTAGAGGAGTGAACCCTTGCAGCCTCAGAACTGCAAAGAGGGGGAAAAGAAGGAGGGCTGCTGTGCTGGTTGATGAGTACCTCTCACAGATCTAGGTCACTCTAATCATGTTTTACTCTGCAGAGATTTTATTACTAGGCATGTTGCCGTGGTGGTGTACACGTACCCTCTGGACCTTCTTCCTTCTACTTCTTGATCAAACATCAGCTGAATGCTGCCAGTGCTACTAGAAAGGGAATGTTGATTTGCCCCACGGCTCTGCTCACATTCCTATCCCAACCAAAACACCTCCTCCCTCATCACAACTCCCCTATCTGTATTATCTTCCCTCACTGGACTGAAAATAACTTGAGGAAAGTGACATTTCTGTTTTCACGTAGCATGCACATTTAAGACAGTCCTTGATACACGTCCAGTTATAATGCTTTTTCATTCACGAGATGAAAAGAACCTCTTTCTTTGCTTCAGAAGTCACAAATTTTAGTTTCTAGAACAGGAAGCAACTTTGACAGACTTACCTAGTGGTGTTATGTATGTCTTGTCATCAAAAACCTTTTCTCATTCCTCAGGCTTGAGTGCAAACACTGAGACTCCCTCTCGCCACCTTTTTACACCTTTACTCCCTTCCATACATACCTTATGGTCGTTGCTCCCAGCACAAGATGCTCCGTGAGAGCTGTCTCTCATGCCTGGAATTCTCTCTATCTGCATCATCTCCACCTCCTGATTTCCTTCAAGTAGCAACTAAAGTCCCACCATCTGCAAGAAGCCTTCCTGATCCTTCCCTCAGGCATTCTCTCCAATTTATACTGTATATATTATTTTTCCTCCCTATACATTTTCTCTGAACGATCTCTTCAGTTTTTGTGGATTTAAGCATAATTTCTATGCAGATGAGTCCCAAGTAATCTATAGATGCTGCCTACATATCTGTCCTGAATTTCAAATCTGTACCCACAAATCCATGTGACCATAACCAAACCATTATCTCCTCCATCTTCCTAACGTGCTTTTTTTGGTAAAGGGTTCTACCTTCCTGTCACGCTGGTAACAACCATGCAGTCAACCTCACCAGTTTCACAGCCCCAATATCCAATCAGCTGATATATCCCATTGTTTCAAGGTCCACAAGATGTCTCACATGCAACCCCTTCTCAACAATGACATGGCAATCCCCAGTTTAGGTCCACTGATTACTGAAATAACCTCCTATATGGTCTCCCTTGCATAACTTTCTGCCCTCGCCATACAGTTGACAAGTGGATACTCTCAAGGGTGTGTCTGAAGATAAACACCAAGCTCCACTCTTGGTGTTTAAAGCTCATAACAGATGGATTCAACTTCCTTTCTAATCTTACTGAACACTACTCACCTTTACACAAACTGTGTTGTAGGAAAACTGGTCTGTGTGCTTTTCCCCACAAGTGACATTGCTTCCTGCCTCCATTTCAGCTGTTATATGTTTTCCCCACATAATATATAATAATAAACTCTCCTCTTCCTTCAGACTCTTAGAATAAAGCTCAGCTGTCTGTTTTCCATACCCTAGGTCAGACATGTCAAACTCAAGACCCAGTTAAAAATATTAACAAAATAAATGAAAATACAACATAAGGTTAATTTGTGGTTTTCTAAGGCAATATGCTGCCCAAAAGGATCTGTTTCTATCTGAGTTTGACACCTTTGCCCTAAATTTGTTAGTACCCCCTATGTTATTTTATATGTATATTAAGAACTTTGCAAACCTTATGTGAGTTACTCTTTATTTTTTAAATTTTTAGGCAATTGGGGTTAAGTGACTTGTCCAGGGTCACATAGCTAGTAAGTGTCAAGTGTTTGGTCTGAGGCCAGATTTGAACTCGGGTCCTCCTGACTTCAGGGCTGGAGCTCTATCCGCTGTGCCACCTAGCTGGCCCTGGGTGACTCTTTATTATCATCAACTCTAGCAACACTGTTTTTTCTCATTCTCCATAAGCTCTTTGAGAGCAGGGACTGCTTTGTTTCTGTATGTGTATCCCTATTACTTAACTGAGTGCCTAAAATGTTGTAAAAATTTAATTAATGTGTATTAAAGGAATGAGATTTTCCTTCATAAAGCCAAGTATCTGAATCTCTCATTATATAATATTCTCCATCAAATACAGGTAGGGCATGTTTATACACACACACACACACGTGTGTATGTGTACGTATGTATATGTATGCATGCATGGGTATATGGTGTATATGCATACATATATACAGTTATACATGCACACATGCATGCACACACACATATATGTTATAGTCCCACATCCTACCACGAAAGTTCACGTAGACTTAATTTCTTAACTTGAACAATTTAATCTCTCTGATAAAACTCATTCCACAGACAGCTTAAACTAGCTGCCCTCCAAGAACCCTTCCAGCTCCAGACCTACATTTTAAGAACAGCTCCATAATTTGACAAACTGTATATTTGTATCTATGCAACTACCTAGCATTCTAATTTTCATTTAATTCTAATAATTCTTCTAATTGGCTAATAAATTAATATTGCACCTTTTTCTACCAAACAAGAATAATGAAGAGCTCCTACTAAGGGGAGAATATAAGATACTTGGCAGCGTATCAAGCCAAAGCCAGAAAATACATGTATCTAAGACCACTAGAAGCCAGCGCAATAGGCACATTATAAACAAAGAAAAATTCTCACCTTTTCTGGATGTGATGTGACAAAGGTAAGAATAAAGCAGAGAGTAAACAAAAAAAGGAAAAACAACAACTACCTGGCCAAATTGTGGTTTGCTAACTTTTCCCCTTACCTTTCTCTTTGTGCTCGATCTATTTGGCTTCTCTGTGTTCCTATTCTCGGACTCCTGCTTATTCCCAGTTGGGAGTGGTTTGTGTTCCATTTTCTTTGGCTGGCACCCCTTCCCAGATGTCTTGGGCACATGAGAAAGGAAGGCTAGGTCTATCTTCACTACCAGGCTTTGGAGGAGAGGGGTATCCCTGAGTGACTTGGTGTCTCTGAAAGGCAATTGGACCTTACTCCCAGCAAGTTCCTCTTGAACAATCAAAGATGCTTTACAACCACTACCCCTGCTGCTACTGCCTTGGGTGGCACCCTGGTTCTGAATCTGGGGACTGTCAGGGAAACGGTCCAGTCTCTGATCACCCATATTGTTCTTGGTGGGTTCAGGGTCCAAGGGTTCTTTCACAGGCACTGGGTGACAAGTTTTGGGCTGCTTCTTTTCACAAGGAGCTGACACAGACTTTGACTTTTCTTGTCTATCCCCACAAGATCGAGGCCTTCCTTTCGTTTTGACTTTGGGCTTATCTTTGGAAGACTGGTCCTTTGACCCGGGTGGAGGGACTGGCTCACTTTCCACCCTCAAGTTATCCTGAAAACCTTCCTGGATTGAAGCTTTTATAGGCTTTTTGGGTTGTTTTGAAGCAACTGTCTGCCAATGTGGGGGTCCACCAGTGCCTTGTTGTGTGACAGACTTTGGGTAGTTTCTCTTGCCAGGATGGGGAACTTCAGGAATAGTCCTGGGGGCTTTACTGGAATTAGAGGGGTGGGGTTCACTGGAGACAGAATGCTCATGACCACTGGTGCTATTGCTGCCTTGTCCCTGGACTTCCTGGGCTTGGTGGTGGGGCCCCATTTCACTGAGGTTCTCTGCTGATACAGGTGGTTGAGTGACTTTGGTAAGCCAGTTGTCCAGCTGCCATTTATTTGCTGTGGGTGGGTCAGGCTAAAGGGAAAAAAGAGAAAAATATCAAGTTATCACTGTTGACAATCATTTCCATAAAAAAAAATCACACTTTCATTTATTGCACAGTTTATTCTCCTATGTCTGGGTCATGGAAGCCTCATTTATTTATCTTCCTCTATTTCTCTTTTAATCTACCAGAGATACCTGCAGATTCTTTTGTAGTATCAAATACTAAATGGAATAAAGAGTAATTTCATGTATTATCTGGAAACACAGGTTTGAAATACAGGTAGTTAAGAGAACCAAAAGAAATAATAACGAAACAGAATTCCAAGGGACATCATTAAAAGTGGAAATTAAATAAGAAAAAAAAAAGAAAAAAAGCAGGAGGCACCACATGACCAGACCTCAAGTTATATAAGGGGTAAGGTGTGGATCTGGGATGTCATTTGCATGAGGAACTCTGGGTGAGGAAACTCATTCTATTAAAGCAAGTCAGTGCCTCCTCTGAAACTTAAAGAGTCTTACAGTTGTCTACAACTCCAAGAAATTAAGTAACTTGCCAAGTGGTACATAGAGAGTTTGCGGTAGAATCAGGACTTGAACTCAGTGTTTCTCTTGCAACCATGCCAAACTGACCCTCAAACTATGTTACAGAGCAGAAATTAGCACATACCATTTGGTTCTGATTACGAAACAGAAAAGTAGATAACGGGAACATACGTAGATTGGTAAATAAGATGCAGAAACAACCAAACACATTAGCATGGTGTTTGAAAAACATAAGAATTTAACTTACTAAGGCAAAGACTATTTGGAGTAATAATAATGATAATAATAAAATTCATATTATATATTTATATGCAATATATAAAGAAAACAATATATTTTCTTATATATTATTACATATATATAAATAACTACATATTATTTACATAAAATATTTACATATATTTCTATGTAATGTATAAATAAAGAAAATAATATATGTAATATATAAATAAGAAAATAAGAAAAACTACTTGGAAAATGGAAAAGCTGTTTGACACTCATATCACGTGCCACAATAAGAATAAGATAACTGAATGTATGAGGACTGTTCCCTAAAAATTAGAGGTTAGGAAAAAATCTTATTCAAATAAGAGACAGAGACGCTCAAAATAGAACATTTAATCTTTATCACATATCAATGGTATAAGTCTTTAAAATAAACATAAAAAGGGAAATGAAACCAAGAGCCATTCTGCAATACATATGCATTCAAAGGATATGAATACGCAGCTTTCAAAGAAGAAATACAAATTAAACATCGTCATGTGAAAAATGCTCATAAATAGTATTGAAAGAAATGTAAACTAAAGTTATTTCTGAAGTTTCACCTACACACATTCACATGGGCAAGTGAGATGAAAGTACTTAAGAACAGAGAGGTTATGGGTAAAAAAAGAACAGAACATGCTGCTGATGGAGAAGTGACATGTTGCAGTCACTCTGTAATTCGGAATTATGAGTCAAAAACAACTAAACTGTTGATACTTTTTGAACCAGAATTTCATAACAATGTACATACTCCAAGGACATTAAAGACAGAAACTTTCCATAAAAAGTGAAATATTCATAGCAGCAATTAAAATATTTTTTGGAATTTTTTAAAATTCAGAATTGAAAAGTAATATTAGTATTTTCATATACAATAGAGAAATGAAAAAAGACCAAGTATAAAGCTGTAAATCTGAATATAATAGAATTTGCACTTCTTTTCTCCAGAAGTTCAATTTCTTTTTTGAACATATGGTAAGTACTCTATTTCCCTGTTCAGTTAATCTGGGCATTTTATATTTTTGTAAATACGAATTCACTTCATTTAGATTGTCACTCTTCATTCAACATTCAAGTCCTTCACAGGACTTTTTCTACCATGGCATATAAATCTTACCACCTTATCCAGAGAAGATCCACAAGGATGGTGATGAAAGTTCATCAGTCTATCTGATGAGAATTACTTGAAGGAACTGGGAATGTTTAGCTTGGAGAAGAGAAAATGTCTGTATGTGTGTGAAAGGTCTGTTCAAGTACTTGAAAGGCTGGCATGTGAAAGACTTAAAATTCTTGTATTTTAAGTCAATTCCATTCTTTGTTACATTGTTTGATGTGCACTTCTAGGACCTGCCAACTCACTTTTTGGAGAAAGCTTCCGTGATAAACCTACAAGTTTTGGCCACAAAAATAAGTAAATGAATCTTTCCACCTTAGAAGCTCACTCCATCTCTGGACTACTCAAATTGGAAGTACTCTGCTCTCTGAAGCCTCACTTTCTGATTAGCTGGTATACACATATATACATACGCTAGTTTCCAAACCAGCTAGGTTGAGATTATAGATCTCTACTGAATGGAACTAGAAAGGAATTCAAGTATCTCCCAGCTGTACATGGCTCCTTTAAGAAAACTGATCAAGTACTAGGTCATAAAGATTTTACTACAGAATATAAGAAGGTAGCAATAAACATTATTTGCAGATCATAATATAATAAAAATATCTTTGATAAGAGATCTTAAAGAAAGAATTTCAAAATAATACTTAGTTATGTAATACTAAAGAACTGGTATGATAGGTCAAAGAGCAAAATAGAAAAACAATGCAAAATTTCATCAAAGAAAATGACAATAATGAGTCAACATAGCAAAACTTGTGAAATGCAATTCTGAGGTGAAAATTTATTTCTCTAACAGCTTTTATCAACAAAGAAAGACCAAATCATAACTTGAGCATGCAACAACAAAACTCTGAAGAAAATCCCCAACTAGATAACAAGCTAGTATTAAAAATTATAGAAGAGATTAATAAAACAAATTTTATAAGTCCATTAAATTTATCAATAAAGCTAGGAGTTGGTTTTTATTTTTTTAAAAAATAACCTGGGGGCAGCTAGGTGGTGCAGTGTATAGAGCATCGGCCCTGGACTCAGGAGGACCTGAGTTCAAATTCGGCCTCAGACACATAACACTCACTAGCTGTATGACTCTGGGCAAGTCACTTCACCCCAATTGCCTCACCAAAAAAAGCAAAAAACAAACAAACAAAAAAAAATAACCTGAATTTTTTTGAGAGAAGGAAACCAAAGTGTTCATTTCAAAAAGGAAAAACAAAAGGAAAACTAACAATTGAAGAGGAAATAAGTTATTTGAAATTATAATTAAACTATAATTATAAAAAGGTGTTTTGCCCAATTATATGCAAAAAACTGATAATATAGAGGAAATAGATGAATACTTAACAAAAATATAAAATACCCAAATTATCAAATGAATTAAAATTATTTAAATAATATCAGAAAAAGAAACTGAAAAAGCCATAAACAAATTCTAAAAGGGGGGAAAAAAACTCGAACTCTAATTTGCAAGTAAATTCTCTCAAACATTCAAAGAAAAATTGATTCTGATATTACTTAAACTATCTGGAATAATAAGAAAAGAAAGCAGCCTTCCAATCTTTCTGTGATACAGATATAAGCCTGGTAACTAAACCAGGAGGAGACAAAGCAGAGAAAGTTACAGACCAGTACCCCTAACGAATATTGATGCAAACATTTTAAATAAAATACTTATAGCAGGCTACAACAGAACATGAGAAATATTACATATAATATGACCAGGTTGGGTTTACACCAGAAATGCAGGGTTAGCTTAACACAGGGAAGATCATTAAGATAATAAACCATTTTAACAATAAAATAATAAAAACAATATGATTATATCAATAAATGCTAACCAGGCTTCTGACAAAATTCAATACTCAATTCTTGGAAAACTGTTGAGGAATTTCTAGAGTTCTCTCTAAACCACAGAAATCATAGGAATAAATGAACTACTCATCAATATAGTTAAGAGTATAAACTAAATCCAAAAGCAAATATATATAATGGGGAAAAATTAGAAGCTTTTCCAATAAGATCAGGAATAAAACAAGGAAGCCTATTATCACCACTACTATTTAACATAGCCCTAGAAATACTAGTTACAGGAATAAGACAAGAAATAAAACTGAAAGAAGAAACATAGGTTAAAAAAAGAAACAAAATTATTGCTTTTTGTCCGTGGTAACAGTAAATTTAAAGAACACTAGAGAATCAACTAAAACAAATAAGAAAATCCAGCAGGAAGAGCAAGAAAGAGAATTTGTATTGAAAATAATTACAAAAGCTATACACTATTGTAGCTTACTTATATAATATATACATCATATATTATATATTACAGAGTACATTGAACAAAATTCACAGAGGCCCTATTTGAATCTAACTATAAAATACTGTCTGTAGAAATGAAGATAGACCCAAATAATTGGAGAAACATTAATTGCTCTTAGGTAGGTTCAGCTAATATAATAAAAATGAAAACACTAAGCTAAATTAATTTCCTTATTCAGCACTATACCAATTCAACTCCCCCAATTTTTTTTTATAAAACTAGAAAAAATAATAACAAAATTCATATGGAGGAACAAACAGTCAAGAAACTCAAGGGTACTCAGGAAGAAAGAAAGAAGTGGGAGTGGGAAGGAGGGGGAGAGAATCTCTTCTACACAGAAGTTGCTGTTGTTCAGTCATTTCAGTAGCGTCCAACTCTTTGTGACCCCATTTGGGGTTTTCTTGACAAAGATACTGGATTGGTTTACCATGTCCATCCCTAGCTCATTTTAGGAAACTGAGGCAAACAGGGTTAAGTCACTTCCCCAGGGTCTCACAGCTACTAAGCGTCTGAGGCCACATCTAAATTCATGAAGATGAATCTTCCGGACTCCAAGCCCAATGTTTCATCCACTGTGCTACCTAGCTGCCTCTCCATAGCAGTATTAGGTATCAAAAAAGGAATCGTTAAAACAATATTTACCAGCCTCTTATAAAATAGTCATAATAGCACACGCTATTTAGTTGTCCAAGGGAGATACTATTCATTCGGAATATTAAATTTAACTAGTACGGCTTGGTGAATACAGGATAGATCTTCTACTCAGGAAGATCTGGGCTTGAGTCCTGCTACTAGAGGTCAGACCATGAGTAAGTTCCTTAACCTGTCTGTGCTCCCAGGTAATTCTTTGAGGTACAAAATTAAAGGCAGCTTACTGATTTAGAGAAAGCTTCTACCTGAGGAATTACCTACCTTAATGAAATCACAAGTCTACACTCTTCCTACCTCAAAAGAACAACAATAACACAGGCGATTAATTCAAGGAAATTACTAGTAACGATCTTAGTTTCTAAATGCATTCCGACTTGGGAGACAATATTTTAATGATGATGATGATGACGCTGATAACAGTTCAAGATTTGCAAAGTGCTTTATCTTATGCTATCTCAGCTGATGATTATAACCATATTGTGAGGTAAGTGCTATTATCTCCATTTCACAAATGAGGAAACTAAGATTGAGAGGGATTTGTCCAGGGTCACATGGCTAGTAAATGTCTGAGGCAGGATTTGAACTCGGGTTTTCCTGGAGGCCAGGTCCAACATTCTTGACACCATACCACCTAACTGCCTAAGGAAAAAGTTTTCTTGAAGCATTCTCAAGATATGGCCAAACACCCTGACTTGAGAACCTGCCTCTAAAGGTATTAGGCTGCATGTTTAAGGGAGAAATGTCACCGTACCTCAGGCGCCGGAGGTTCTGGGGGCTCATTCTCTTCACTGTCACTGGAGCTGCTTTCACTCTCCGAGTCTGAAGAGCTGTCAGAGTCACTGGTGCTCTCTGATTCTGTATTGTTGGAATGTGCTGAAACCACACTGTCTGCAAGGGACTGCGGAACACTGCAAAGCAACAGAAAGCAAATGAGACAGCAGCATGTCAGGCATCTCCTTGTCCTCTCCCATCTCACACCCACTTTGCATTATTAGTTTTTTTTCTAAAGTAACAAACGGCCCCTGCAAATATACTGGGGCCTTTTATTATCAAAAGAGCTAGAAGGCACCACAGAGGCCGTCCAAAACAAACTCCTCATTTTACAATAAAGGAAACTCAGGCCAAAGGTGGCTAAGTGATCTCCCCTCACCACACAAGTGGTAAATATGAGAAATGGAAAATAGTTCTCACTAATAAATATGAGGGGAAGCCTATGAACCCAGGTCCTCTGGGAACTTTAACCTCTGGATTTGAATTCCACAAAAGAAACATTCCCGTCCAGGACTATAGAGTTTATTCCTAAAGAATCCCTAAGAACTTAATCCTCACTAAAATTGTTTATCTTTTAAGGCAACTGAAATAATATCAATTCAAAAATAAAGGAAAAAGTGCTAACATTTGACTTTTTTTTTCTTTAAGAACTATCATATGATAACAAGAACTGTTTGTAAATATGATGACTCTGGAAGATGACTTGAAAAACCAGTCACTTAGTAGGCACACATTGGCCAGTCTCTGCACAATGAAAAAACTAAGCACTGGGTCCAATGGACAAGATATGTTCACACACACACACACACACACACACACACACACACACACACACACACATAGAGACATATATACACACACACACTAACTTCCTGAAGTCATCCAAGTACAACAACAGTGGTAGTTGATTAAACAATCACTTCATTATTACTCAGTATGTGTGATACCAGTAGAGAGTGACAAACAAGACAGAATAAAGTGTTCTCACCCAAGGGAATTATACGACTAACTAGGACCTTGAAGACTTCCAAATATTCTTAAAGGAATTTCAAAAGAGAAAAGTTGCATCATCATTTTTCAAACAGACTTTTAAAAAAATTTCTCACAATTTTTTCTGATAGAAAACATGTAATTTTCAATAGCCAACTTTAAAACTTTATTTTTAGAAGTTAATTAATTGAGTGATGATTTCTCCATTGTCAACAATGCCCTGCTGAGCGGGTGGATAACATTGCTATCTGAATATTTTACAGAATCTTAATGTAAAATTAAGAGGCCTTCTACAGGGCAATTATTACAAACATTATCTACAATTATTAGCATGTCACCTGTGTGCCTATGCTAAGTAAACATGGTTCATTAAGCCATGACTTTTATTTCAAGGATACTAACAAACTTCATTTTAATCTCTCAGTTCTCCTTTCCAAGCTGTTACATCTCTAATCCACACTTATCAGTCGGTTGTTAAAGGTCATGGGCTCAACTCCGAGCTTCAAACCAACCAGTAACAAGTCATCATTCATTCCCTTTCTTAGGGGCTGTCAAACATGTTTGCCACAACAAAATATTTAAGAGCACTAAACCTGTTTAATTTTTCTGATTACTTATTATTTATTATATTATTATCACATACTATATATAATAATACAACATATTGCATTGTTTGTCATATTTATTTATATTATAGTAAATTGTTATATTATTACTTATGAAAGATACTTACTAAAAAAACTCAGAAGTTTCTTTTATCTTTTACTGTTTAACACAGGACTCAAATGAAGAAATATACCCACAAATGAATTTTCCAAGCTCACCTTAACCAACCAACCATAGTAAAAGAACTAATTTAAACTTAAGCAGCACTCAGTCCCTGGCCAGTTCACCTAAATCCACTCTAAAAACAGATGCTAATGTACGGAATGTCTGAACTAGCTGAATCTCTCAAAAATTGTAAAACAGATTTTCTGCATTTTTGAATGTCAAGATTTCTACAGATATGAGGGGAAATACAGTACCTTGCAGGAGCAGATGAAGGAGGGGGTTTCTCGGGAGCCTAAGTTTTTAGAAAGAGAGAGGGAAAGAGGAAATTGAGGGGAGAAATAGAGAATTGGTTAAGTTAATGCAACGTCAAACACAGCAAATTATATGGACTTAAAAGGAATTTGTTTTATGTCACATGTAAAACTCACTTGCTCATCACCACTGTCTTCACTGTCACTGATCTGAAGGTCATCTTCTAACATCCTAGAAAACAGAGAGAGAGACAAATTTGAGTTTTAGAAACAATCTCTACTACAGTGTCTGAACTTACTAAAACTTCAGTGATGTATCTCCAGTAAATACTAAAACAAGCACTAGGAATTTTGTTTCAAAGTTAATAATAATAAAAGTCCAAAACCTCAAGGACCCTAATTCCTTTTTCATTAGGAATAGAGAAAATGACTCTTAATATTCTAAGCACAATTTTGTCAATTTTAGGTTTTTTCTTGGATCCTCATGCATGCTTAAAATTGCACTAAGACCTTTGGGACACGATGAATGCTCCCTAGTAATTCATTCAACAACATTAGTTGACTTTGCCATGTGCAAGTGTGAAATTTAAGCAACAGAAAACAGGACAACAGATATGACACAGAAAAACTTACAAAAGCCCTGGTAAATCATTTAAATGAAATTCATCCTTGAACTACATGAATTTCAAGAACATAATAATGTTTCAATAAACATATATAGTGCCCCAGTTGTCCTGTACAAGCTTCACAAATCTATAATTACATTTGTGTGTAAATTCAGATATCAACATGTAAACTATTTCCCTTCATCAAGCCAAGTGTACAAGCAAATGAATCAGTTACAGTCATTTCAAACCGGGCAGATAACGTGTAGAATTCAGAACCAGAACCTTTCCCCTCAATAACAGCAGATTTTAAGTTTGAATTAACAATTTTGTTCATTCAAAATCAATTGTTTCAATGTTTTCACTTTCCTTACACAAATACAGGCAAATAGCTCAGTCTAGTACCTATCTGACAGGGTATATATATATATATATATATATATATATATATAGTAATTAAGACAGAAAAGGGGTGACAAAATGCATTAAGATAAAATCAAAGTCCTAGGGTAATCTAACATTTAAGGAAACAGTAATTTACCCAATGGGCAGATCGTTCCACGTTAAAAAAAAATACTCTAGTTTCTGCAAGTCTACTAATTACAGCAAAAGGGGCAGAAACAGAATCTCAATTTGAAAGATTCATCTCCCATTACTGTCTTTATGAGAAAAGAGATAAGCAGATTTCCCAACTTTCTTTCAAGACAATTCAGAGGGAATCTGAGGTATTTCAGACTTAAATTGGGTAATAATAATAATTTTTAAAAATTCCACCTTGAATGTTTCTTCTGTAACCTTCTCCTCTCCCCACTACGGAGCTTCTCATGATGAAAATATACAGATGAATGAGTTCCACAAATTTGTATTTGTTGTTCTTATTTCTATACAACTGCTAAATTTCCTTGGCATTAATTATGACAAATAGGAAGTTTAAGTGTGGCCTTCTATACAGAGGCCCAGTTTGAGAATCAAGATATAAGACATAAGTCTTGTTGTTGACAGATAACAGCTGCTGGTTAACTTAACTTCTCAGTGCCCCAGGCAACCCACCAAGACTAAGTTATAGACAAGCTGTTAGGATATGACAAGCAAGCAACAAATAACTTCTTCCCCTCCTCCTGCTTGAGTTCAGGTTCCCAGAAGTGCCTGGGATATAACAGGCTTCCCTTAGTTGTTTAGAGGCCCCCATTAGACCCCAAGGGACTGGATTCAGAGGAGACACTGACCCTCCCAATTACCTGCCTTAATCAGCAAATCTACTATCATCTACCACTGACTGAAACCCTCACAATGGTTAACATGCTACTATTCCCTTTTACTTTCCTTATTCCAATAATATTGTATTCTTTTTTTTTTTTTTTTGACAATTGGGGTTAAGTGACTTGCCCAGGGTCACACAGCTAGTATGTGTCAAGCGTTTGGTCTGAGGCCGGATTTGAACTCAGGTCCTCCTGACTTCAGGGCCGGTGTTCTATCCACTGCACCACCTAGCTGCCCCAATATTGTACCCTTAACAGCTGAAAAAGAAATACCACTTCCCAAATCCCAGTTGCTAAAATTCATTCTCACCCACTTTGACCCTACCCCACCAAATTATACTACAGATTTTCCCATCATGCCAATTGGTATCTGTACTCTAGAATAAATAAGTTTCCTTCTGTTTTCATTCATTTTTCTCTCACTCATTCCATCTTTTCGATCTCTGAGATGTCACTGCATCCCTGGCCCATCCTTTTCAGATTTGGTTATACCTTCTCTGGTCAATATTTCTCATTCCCTTCCAAACCCTTTGAAATCTGACTTCCAGCTTCATCAGTAAATCGATCACTTTCTCCAAAGTGAACCACAATCTCTTTATTACTAAATCTGACGGTCTTTTCTGAAACCTCATCATTCTGGACCTGTCTAAAGCACGTGACACAGATGACTACTTTTTTTTCCCCTTGATACTCTCTGAATTTTCATGACATTGTTCTTGGTTTTACTATGATCCTGACATTCCTCTTCAGTCTCCTTTGCGAGACCTTCCTCGACACCACTCCACTACATGTATTCCTCAAGGCTCCACCCCTCTTTTCCTTTAGAATTTTCTACTATTTTAGAGTTTTTTGTTTTTTAGTGTTTCCCATAGTGGTCTCATTAATATGGCTTCAAGTATGCAAATGATTCTCATATCTATATATGTCCAACCCTAGAATCTTTTCTGAACTCCAATCCAGCATCTCCAATTAGCCAATGGACATTTTGAACCTAATGTTCCTTAGGTATATCAAACCCAACATGTCCAAAACAAAAATCATCATCTATTCCTCAAATTCATCCTTCCTTCAAACTTAACTATCATTACTGAGGGCACAACCATCCTCCAAGTCACCCAAGTTCACAACTTTAATGTTATTCAACTCCTCAATCTCATTCAGCCCACACCTCCAATCAGTTGTCAAATCTGGTCATTTCTACATTCACAACATTATTCTTAAATACCTCCTTCTCTGTTCTCTCATAGCTACTACCCTAGTTTAGGCCCTCATAATCTCTTACCTGTACTATTACAATACCCTCCCAATTGGTCTTCTTGACTCAAATCTTTTCCTATTTCGATATATCCTCCATATCACAGCCAAAATATTTTCCTAAAGAACAGGTTTGACCATGTCATCTCTACTCCCCACTTACTTAATAAACCCCACAGTGGCTCTCCATTACATCTAAATCCAATGTGTATTCCCTTGACATTTAAAGTTCTCCAAAAACCTAGCTCTTCCCTATTTTTCTACTCTTCTTAGACATTACTTCCAAACACGTACTTCATGGCATGGTCCAACCATACTGGACTGTTCCTCACTCTTTTAGGATCACTTACTATATACTAAGGTTCTTCTTCCCCCACCTATCTCCATGGGTTGGCTCTCTCTCTCAAAGGCAAAGAAACTGTTCTCAAGAACTGGTAGGCCAATGTTCTACCCCCATCATCCAGCTTCCTGGTGGCTTCTGGATATATTTATTCTATTTCCTGATCTCCTACGTGTATTTCCCACCTATGTAGAGTTGAGTCTCTTCTGGCTTGGAGGATGTACCAATATCTACCTATCAACAGAATTATAGTTTAAATTTAGACTATAATATAGACTAAACTGTAAGTTTAGTAGTTACTAAATCCACTGAAAGCTATTTATTAAAATAGTCTACATATTGACTATTTTTGTATGTTGTATATAGCAACATATCTAGCAATATACATTAGCAACAATATAAAACAGTATCAATTAATCTAACTGCAAAGAGTTAACCCCAAATGTATGCTAGAAGGCATATTGAAAGTATATAAATTTACTTAAGAAAGTAAAAAAGCTCCACATTTTTAAGGACCATCTAATTGCTGTTCTGAAAAGAACAATGGTTTAACTCATCTAACCTACCTCTTAAAATTTAAGATGAAGCTTAATAATTTTAAGCCTGCAAGGTAATTTATTTCATCTTTATCATCAGGTTTGTCCCTACCCCCAAATTATTAGAGCACAAATATGGTTTTCTTTGGCATTGTCTGAGTAGGTTAATCACATTTTATATTATTGGTTGGTACACTTTTTACTTTTAGAAAATCATTCCTTAAGCTATTTTAAAAGAAAATTGTGAAGAACTACAACCAGCAAGGGCAGGTTGTGGCAGCAAGGTGGTCATGAGTCAGAGCAGACTAGAATCTCGTGCTTGCTGCCCCACTGTTGTTATACGTAAGGAAGGTAGAAGAAATATTTCTTTTACATAACACCAAGTCAAAACAGAATCATTTCTTACCTGGAGGCCTCTGGAGGATATGGCGCGTTACAAATCAATGAATTGTTTTTTAAAAATGCATCATAAATTATTACAAGCAGGTATAACAACTCTGGCATCATTGATCCCGAGCCATATGAGGCCCATCACTAATTGCTAATCCAGCCTGCTGTTATCAACTGATTATAGGGACTCACACAAAGGACTTCACTGTGCTGGGCCTGAGATGACCCACTAAGACTCTCCCTTGCAAAGCAGGTGCTGTTCCACTTTGGCAGAAAAAGTTCTTTAACCAATGAAACCCTGGATCGAGAGCAACAAAAGTGACCGAGTGAGTGCTGAAAGAAGTTTTCTATTAATACCAGCAATCACTGACAAAACGTAGAACGTACAACCATGAAACTGTAATTTCTCAAGAATGCAAGCTTCGAAAATCCAATGATACTTAAAATGTTACTGAGGTCTATAAGCTCCAAAATGTAGAAATTTAGCAATGACAGGGTGAAGACACTGAATTTCATTTCCTTTCAAAAAGCTTTTTTTAAGTCTAATTTTGCTTTATTCTGTGCCTAAGTAATCAAACAAAAAATAAATATACTTTTGTGATTCTTTCTTATAGGGCATCAGTATCTAAATACTATATTTAGACTTTAAAAGATAAAAGAATTGTAAAATGTAAAACGAACGTGTATACATATACTAATTATAATGATCAAGACAAAATAAAATCTCGAGTAATTGGAGATTAAGTAATCTTTTGAACATCAATATAAAATAGTACCACAATCTAATTGCAAAGAGTTAACATTAAAGGCTCAACAAAATCCTATGTTTAAATGTATTTAGATGGACAACCACAACATCACAATGCCACCTGAACCCCTTCCTCCATGAACAAACTTGGGACACTTACGATGTTGCCGGCTGAGAATTAGAACATGTTTTTGAAGATGTACCATGCTGTTCTGTGAAGAGAGAGAAGTATATTAAGTAGAAACTAATCAACAGTCACTCTTCTTTGTACATCATCAGCCACATCTATAAAACTGTGATAAAAATGTGTGTTTCATAGCTCAGTGATGTGCCAATTTTTAGATAAAAATAACAATGTATGTAAAGTAATGTAAAAACCTTAAAATGCCCTATAAACACCAGTTATTATAGTTAAACAAATATGTGCTATTGTTGTAAAGTAGGGCAAAAGTTAAATGACCTGGCCAAGGTCACACAGTGGCAGAATCAGGGTGCCAACCTGGGTTTTCTTACTACCTAAGTATTGCCACAATTCCTTAACCTTTTTTTTAAATACACAGCAAATCCTACAGTAGCACAATCACAATTTTCTATCATAGTGCAATTTAGATGTCATGAGTACTTTGCTACATATCATGTTCTCAGTCTCTAGATCCATTATCCTGATCCATCTAGATGCATCATCGATCTCTGTTTTCCCTTTCCTTATTTTCACTTACTGTGTCCCATCCCCCAAGCTACAAAAAAAGCAGCAAATTAAACAACGGAAGAGTGAACTGAACACAGTAAGTGAAAGAGAGTAGAGTTTGTTCAAGATTTCTATCCTTTTGCTTTCCTTCCCTTTCAAGATGTAGGGGAGTGTGTGTGTGTGTGTGTGTGTGCGCGTGTGTGTGTGTGTGTATGTATTTGTTTTTGGAAGTTTGATTAGGAAACAAGACTAATTTATCAAAAGGTCTGGGAAAGGCTGTAGCTACCTCTCTTTTTCTTTAAACCAAGTTTTAAAATTTTCCATATTCATGAAGCAAAGTAAAAGAACATTCACAGAAAATAGAGAAACCACTGCTAAGTACAGTGCCTGGCACATAGTAGGCACTTAATAAATGTTGATTGACTTGATTTGGTTATACTTGGATTCCACTCATAAAACAAAAATCAGCAACATCATTCATGCATAGTAGATGCCAATGGTTTTGTTCCTGGGAAGGCTGAGGTTGGTAGATGGCATGAACGTGGGAGTTCTGAGCTGCAGGAAGGGTAAATGTCCTAAAGACGTCCATATTAAATCGAGTACCCACACGGTAAGTCCCGAGGAGTGAAGGACCACAACATTACCTACGAAAGGCTTAACTCATCCACGTCAGAAACAGAATACGTCCAAGTTTCTGTGCTAATCACTGGTGAGGTCCAGCAACTGAGTAGTCGTTGCATTTGTAGCTTGGGTGAGGCAGGGAAGACCGATATCCAAAAAGAAAAATAATAGTAATGGTAATAGGATATTACCGGTGGTCATGTTCACAGTTTTTCTCTTTTGTCCCTAAGGCAATCATTTTCTGACTCTACCATGAAACCTTACTATTAAATTTGACCAAATCAGAAACTATGATGCTCAATTTCCCTTTGTAACAACAGGCTACAAAGGTTGACTTACTGTGGTTCTGCAATACAGATTCAATGTGCTGAAATTCCTGGAAAACAACAAAAGCTCACATTAATAACTTTAGGAAGATTCATGAATCTCATAAGTACAAAGCTATCATAATGTTATTGGCTTTTAATGTGGAAAAACTATTTTTCTGCTTTCTTGGCTATTTTATAAATTCAAATCACTAACAATCTTCACTTTAAAAATGCAGATGAGCTAATATAGTAACAAAATAGAAGACTGCAAAGAAAAAAGTGACTTGGAGCATAATTAAATATATTTGTGATATATCTTCTAGGCACAAATCATGGGGAGCAACCCTTATGCCCATGGGGTTCGTTATCAAAGGAAATATAAAGTATGGTAAATTTCTTATGCAAACCCAAATGGAATCCCAAGGAAAAGAGTCAAATTAAAATTCATTAAATTTAATATTACACTAAATACAAAAGAAAATGATATTATCTAATATTTACTTTAAGGTCATGATTTGCTTATTATTAAAAGAGCAAGAAAACACAAATTTCCATAAAGAAATTACAACTACATTTCATTAATATATTATTAGTTGGCCCAAGCTCAGTTAGGCAAACTTCTTCTTCACAGATACTATATTTTAATAGTTTAAGCACCAATTTCTAAGAACAAATATAAAATACTTGGGTGAAACCCAAGAGATTGCTTGAATTGAGGCAGGCAGTCCAACGCCCATACACCTATTTCTGCCAAAACAAAAATAGCACCAGATGAAATGATGTTCAAGAAATTTTATGAAAAACAAGAGTAAGTTACTACCACAAAACTGCATTTTTAAAAATCAGGCAGAAGTCCACAGGCAATAGGAAAAGGGGCCTATTGAAAGAGTCAACGCCAATTCACAAGACAGAACAGAGATGCGATAGAGAATTGCTCTAACCCAGCAAGACTCTGTGACGTGGAGGCAGAAGGAGCAGAGGACCTTCGGAAAATCTATGGGTAATTGGATACACATAGGGTGGATCTTAGTAGCCATTGGGAGCAATGCTTGGACCAGGACATAGAGGTCCATCTTCTCTACCTCAACATTGAAGTGAGTCAAAAACTACCAGAGTGCTAAGCACAGATACCCGCCAGGTAGTAGAGATCAAGAAAGAAAGACAGTGTTGAAATCTACCAAGGTTCACCACCCCTGCACGAGTGATAAAGGCCTGGGCCAGGAGCAAAGCCCCAGTTCAGAAATTAATAAGATAGGAATGAATAGAAGAAGAAACTAACCACTCTAAAGAATTTGTACAGAATCAGATAACAAAAATATCCAAATTAGAAAAAGAGTCCTTCCACAGAAAAGACAAGCAGAAACTCAAAGGAAAAAAAATGGATTTTCCACAAGTACTACATGAATATCTAGAAGAAATGGACAAGAGGTTTTTAAAAATGAAAACAAAAACTCGAGAGGAAGGAAAATAAGTAGTTTAGAAAATAAAGTGGTAAAACTTTGTCAAAGTAATGGACTCCTTCAAAATTAGTTTAAGGTATTACATTTTCATATGAAATACCTTAGTACTAAAAGGGGCAAAATGATTTTTCCATAAAGAAAAAGAATTAAAGCAAACAGTAATGGATGTAAGATGTTGTCTCTTTCATATACAACAGATAAAACATAACCAGGCACATATAGGTGCCTAGAAGGAATAGAAAATGTGCTCTGGATTAATAGTAACTACTGGATATAGAGTACTGGCCCTGAAGTCAGGAGGACCTGAGTTCAAATCCGACCTCAGGCCAAACGCTTGACACTTACTAGCTGTGTGACCCTGGGCAAGTCACTTAACCCCAATTGCCTTAAAAAAAATAGTAACTACTAAAATATGCATGTAAAGAAACAGTTTCCAGATAAGTTGTGAGTAGTTTGGGTGCAAAAGGGACTCCGGTATAAAGGAAAAACAGAGATACCTAACTTGGGGTCTATGAACTTGTTTTTTAAAAAATCCTGCATTAACTGTATTTTGATATATTTGGTTCCCTCTGTAATTCTATTTTATGCATTTTAAAACATTATTCTGAGAAGCAGTCCAACTGCCCGAGGGGTTCATGACAAAACAACACTTAAGGAACCTTAATGTAAAGGATTAAAATACTTTGGAAATGATATAGAGTGCCAGCTATTTTGTATGTGAACAGTTCAATGGTATAAAGGGACAGAAAAAGAATTTCTATTCATTAAAAACTGATAAAATGTAAGTTTAAAGAAATGGACTGAAGAATGGGTGGGGCTACAAAGCACCATGTGATCCATTGGCTCATTTGCGTGTAACTATTTTAAGGAACAAAGGCAAAAGTAAAAAATATGAAACATCAGACAAATGTTAGAAAACCATGAAATAATTAAACAAGGACCATTCATTTCACAGGGAGAGATTTGGTGAGATTTGACCTTTTCAGTGCAAGGTGAGTTACCGGGTATCCGAAGGCACTGATTTGAGCCACTGAAACTTAGGGAAGAGGCCAAAGAAGCATGGCTACACACGGACAGTAAAGGAAAGACTGAGCAGGTAGTTGAAAAGCCAGCTCTACTGAGGTTTTGGGAATAAGGTGACAGCCAAGAAGTATCAACTAACAAAATGGTTTCAGCAACCAGTTCCTTACCGACTGAAGAGAGAGTGACCCTCTCACATCAGATTAGAGATTCAGGCTCAGCTATCGCTTTCCAGGGGCATGTAGGGAGGTAAAGCTCCCCAGAAGTACCTGTTGTTCACTATGAAGCTCTACCTCACACCTATCAAGACTGGCAAAGAGGGCAAAAATGGAAAATGACAACCACTGGAAGGACTGCAGGAAAACCAGCACATGACTTCACTCTTGGTGGATTTGGGAATTAGTCCAGTCAACTTGGAAAGCAATTAAGATTTATGCCCCTAAAGTGACTGGACTGTGTCTAATGAACACTAACACCAGTAAAACAAACAGAAAAAAAAAGACTCATAAGTATGAAAATATTTGTAGCAGCTAATTTTTGTTATAACAAAGAACTGCAAACTAAATGGGTGGCTGTCAAAGGAGAATAGCTGAACCAATTGGGCTCATGAATGGAGTGAAACGTGATTGTACTGTAATAAGGGGTGAAAGGACTCATTTCAGAGAAGTCCAGTAATTCCTGAATGAACTGATGAGAGTGAAATGATCACGTCCAAGAGAACAGCTGATACAGTATCGACAATATTGCGCAGAAAGGAAGCTTTTAAAGATTTAAGAATTCTGAGCAATGCAGTGACCAACTATGATTACAGAAGGTTGGTGACGGAGCATCCAATCGACCTACTGGAAGACAGGCAACGTACTCAACGTACAGAAGACAAACATTTTTGAAGTTGGTCAATGGGGACATTTGTTTTCCTTAACTCTGCATGTTTTGACGAGGGTTTCATCTGGTTTTCAATGGGGTAGGTGACGGGGGCCAGGAGGAAAAGGAGATATATACACCTTAACCAAAATGAAAGGAAAACAAAATATAGAAAAGTGAGCCTCTGAAGCATTTTTTTGCAAACGCACAGAAGAGAACAGAAAGGTGAGAAGGAATGGCAGACAAGTAGAACGGCTATTAAAGTTATATGTTGAATTTATTACATTTAAAAAGAAGAGCAAACTATAAATATTAGCTTGGTAATTTCACGTACAATACTCTTTCTTTTCTACTATGTATCTGGAAATGCCCATTTTGCTTTATATCTGTTAAGTTCAGAATGAAAATAGATGAGTTTAATAATTTTTGAAGTATCTGTGGTTCTCTGCTGCCTTCTTTGGTTTGACAGGAAAAAGCAGAAGGGGGAAGAGACATTTTGTAGTTGCTCTGCTTTAAAGGAAAGGATTCTAAGCCTGGAGGATACAGTATCCCAGGGAATGAATATCTGGCTGGGTTTGTTTGCACTTACCCAGCCAGGTTTGCTGGATACTCCTCTGGCTTAATGGAAACTGCCAGCTAAATTAAGAGGGTAACACTCCCTCAGAGACCTTTTAGGGGTGATTATATATTAAAAGAGTTTATAATGCTGTCAGCTTGAAAGAGGAAGAGGATTTGCCTGGTTGGAGAACAGTAGGATTAGGGCAGCTAGGTGGCACTGTGGATAGAGCACTGGACTTGGAAACAGGAAGACTCATCCTCCTGAGTTCAAATCTCGTCTCTGACACACACTAGCTGTGCAGCCCTGGGCAAGTCACATAACCCTGGTTGCCTCAGTTTCCTCATCTATAAAATGAGCTGGAGAAGGAAATGGCAAACCACTCCAGTATCTTTGCCAAGAAGAGCAACCCCAAATGGAATCACTAAGAGTTGGACACAACTGAAAAACAACTGAACTGAGGGTAAGAAGAGCAGCTACTGGAAAAGCAGCTTCTTGTGGTACAAATACTCTTGAATGGACTAATGACGTCCAGATGTACCGTCTAGAGTTGTGAGTTACGCCATGCATATGGCTTTTCTTGACTCACGCATTACCCTGCCAGATTTCTCTAAGAATATGCCCCTTTCCTCCATAGATAATGAGAGCATGCATCGGTGAGACAAAGAGTCGAGTGTGTAAATAGGATAGTAGGAGATGGGGAAGAATAATACCTGGGAGGGAACAGTTAAGAGTGAAAACAAACCAGCTTCAGAGGGAAGATCCTGAAGGGAATTTTTAAAAAGTGGAAAGTGAGGGATAAGGGTTGGTCATCAATTAGAGAAAGGCTGAACAAATTATGATATATACATGTAAGGTAATATTATTGCACTCGAAGAAATGACAAAATATGACTTCAGAAAATCATGAAACAACATATGAACCGATACAGAGTAAAGTGAGCAGAGGGAAGGGGACAATTTATAAAATCAATTTTGAAAGCCTTAAAAACTCTGATTAAAGCAGTAACTGACCACGGAGGAAATTACGACAAACATGTTATTCAATTTATTTTGACGTAATGGACTCAAAGAGACATACATTTTCATGCCCGACCACTATGTAGATTTGCCTTGCCTGGTTATACTTATTTATTTATTACAACAATGGTTTTTTTTTGTTTCTTTAAGTGGTGGTAATGGTGGTGGGGAGTATTTTAGTAACAGTGATACAGAAAGAAGGCCACTGAAAGATTTTTTAAATGCACAAAAGATAAAAGAAGTTCATAAGGAAATATAGTCAAGGAGGACAGCTTTAAAGGTAACATGTTGAATATATGAGAATTTGTTATATACTTTAAAAGAGCAAGCCACAGATAACAGAGATTCATCATTTCATATAAAGTACTATTTTAATGTATTATGGAAATATTTGATCTTTTTGGTGTTTGATAAGTTCAGAAGAAAAAAAATGAATTGTAAAAAAAAACTTGTCTGAAAACATACATAGCCATTGTTATACTACTCATAAACTAATTTAAACTGTTCCTAAGGACTTTTCAAAGTCACACAGAACTTAAGAGCTGGAATAACAATGGAGATAATCTTAATTCAACATCCTCATTTTAAAAAAGAGGAAACTGAGGCACAAAGATAACAAATTACTTGTCCAGGGTCACGGTAGGACCTAGAACTAAGATCTCAAATTCCAGGTGAGGGAAGGAAGGATAGAGGGACAAAGGCAAGTAGGTAGGAAGGAGCATTTATTAAGCACCTACTATGTACATGGCAGTGTGCTAAGTGCTTTAGAAATATCTCATTTAATCCTCACAACAACCCTGAAAGGTGGGTCTCATTATCAGCCCCATTTTAGAGTTAAGGAAACTGCAGAGAGAGGATAAGTAAGTGACTTACCCAGGGTCAACTAGCTAGTAAATGTCTGAGGCCATATTTGAACTCAATTCTCTAGTTAAGAAATCAGAGTTTTTTGCTTTTGTTTTCACTGCTTATTATTCCAATGCTCCATTAAGCAATAGGCTAAGTTTTTAATGTGCTTAAAAATTTTACCTTTGCTGGGAAAGGAAATTTTGAAGATTCAGCAGTATTAGGAGTATGGATTGCTGTTAAGGGTGGAGGCCATGAATGGGTCATTTCCTGAAAAAAATCAGAAGAAAGGGAAAGTAATTATAAATAAGACATTTCCTGGTATTTTATTTAGTTCATTTAAAATTAATGTGTAAGGAAAGCAGTCCTCCGGTTAGCAAAAACCTTGAGTGACAGGTTGTGATCCATTTCCTTAAAAAAATTTAATAGGTTAACCATCATATATGCAAAAAGTTGAACATCTTCAGCATAAATGAATAAAAATTAATTCAGTGAGGAAAAAAATCAGAATGAGTTATTAAAAACATATGTATCTTTTTAAAAATATTGATTTAATAACATGCAGCTTAAAAAATAAAGTCTCTAAATTCTACTAAACAAGTGACTTACATTTAAACATGCCCATATTAAAATAGCTGGACTGCTGAACGAACTACTGAAGCACAAACCAGAGAATGACAGACAATAATCATGGAAGCTTACTGAATCCACTATATTATCAGGCAGGATACATTCTGCTTTGGTATTGTATTTGCAGGAAATATTCAACTTGAAATGGCATAACTTTCCTGTTTAAACTACGCAAATAAAAAATCTTGGCTGTCATTTTGACTTGCTAAGTTTCAATGCACTTGACATTTCCCTGACATACATTAGCAAACGTTCTTATTTTTCTTATTCTGCTTAACAACAACAAAACAAGATAAAAATCTGTTGTCACTTATCTTCTTCAGGCCAAAAGAGATTTCAGTGATTTCTGTAATCTTTCTCCTAAATTTTATTCCAAGCACCTAGTACCTGAACTTACAGTTTAGGTGGGAAAGTTAAATCTGTTAAAAATCTTTAAAAAAAAAAAGTTAAAACAAACAAGATAAGCAATGATAAAAATTTAGTCTTCTTAAGTACTTCGTAAACCTTACTTTGTTGTTATTTAGTGGCGTCCAACTCTTTGTGACCCTATGGACCACAGTATGTCAGGCTCTTCAGTCCTCCACTGTCTCTCAAAGTCTGTCCAAGTTCATGTTCATTGTTTCCATTTATCCATCTCATCCTCTGCCATTCTCTTTCCCTTTCACCTTCAATCCTTCTCAGCATCAGGGTCTTTTCCAATAAGTAAAGTCTTCTCATGTGGCCAAATGATTTAAGCTTCAGCTTCTGTATTTGACCTTCCAGTGAATTAATTTCCCTAAGTATTGACTGATTTGCCTCCTTGCTGTCCAAGGGATTCTCAAAAATCTTCTCCAGCATCATAATTCAAAAGTATCGATTTGGAGGCACTAACTCAGCTTTCCTTATAGTCCAATTCTCACAGCCATACATTACTGCAAGAAGAACCATACCTTTGTTGACAAGACGATATTTCTGCTTTTTATGATGCTAGCTTTCCTTCCAAGTAGCAAGTGGCTTTTCATTTCATGGCTGCAATTGCAGTTTGCAATGATCTTTGAGCCCAAGAACATAAAATCTTGACAGTTTCCTTTCCTTCTCCTTCTATTTGCCAGGAATTGATGTGACCAGTCACCAAGATCTTAGTTTTTTAGATGTTAAGCTACAAGCCGGCTTTTATAGCATCCTCTCTTATCCTCATCAAGAGGCTTATTAATTCTTCTTCACTTTTCGCCATCAAAATGGTATTGTCTGCATATCTGAGATCATTGACATATCTCCCCACAATCTTAATTCTGGCTTTTCATTCATCCTGCCTGACATTTTGCATGATGTACTCTGCATATAAGTTTTACAAAGTAACAATATACAGCCTTGTCATACTCTTTTTCGATTTTTAAACCAATCAATTGTTATGTTCAGTTCTAACTAATGCTTCTTGACCTGCATCCAGGTTCCTCAAGAAACAAGTGAGATGCTTTGGTATTCCTATCTCTTCAAGGACTTTGAGAACACATTTGCTGTGATTCACATAGTCAAAGGCTTTAGTATAGTCAATAAAGGAGAAGCAGATGCTTTTCTGGAACTCCCTTGCTTTCTCTATAATTCAGCAAATGTTGGTAATTTGGTCTCTAGTTCATCTGCCTCTCTGAAAACCAGCCTGCTCTTCTGGTAATTCTCGGTTCACACGTTGCTGAATTCTAGCTTGCAGAATCTTAAGCATAATCTTGCTGAAATGTGAAATGAGCACAATTATTTGGTAATTTGAGCATTTCACGGTATTGAGATGTAAACTGATCTTCTCCAAGGCAATGGCCACTGTTGAGTTTTCCAAATTTGCTGGCATAATGAGTGCAGTACTTTAACAAGATCATCTTTTAGGGTTTTAAATAGCTCAGCTGTGATTCCATTATCACCATAAGCCTTATTATTAGCAAACCATCCTAAGGCTAACTTGTCTTCATTCTCCAGGATATCTGGCTCGAGATCAGTAGCCACACCGTTGTTATTATTAGCAATGTTAAGATCTTTCTTGTATAGTTCTTCCTCTACTTCTGTTAAGTTCCTACCATTTTTATCATTTTTTGCATGAAATGTTCCCTTCATATTTTCAGTTCTCTTGAAGAGATCTCGTCTCTCCCATTCTATTATTTTCTTCTATTCGTTTCATTGCTCATTTAAGAAAACCTTATCTCTCCTTGCTATTCTGTAGAATTCTGCATTCAGGTGGGTATATCTTTCCCTTTCCTTAGCTATCTTTAGAGTCTCTTCAGACCATTTTGCTTTCTTGTTCTTTTTGTTGGGGGGGGGGGAAATTTTTGTTGCTGCCTGCTGTACACCATTGTGACTGAAGTTTTTGAGGCACTCTTAACTACCAGATCTAATCCCTTAATCTACTCCTCAGCACCATTTCATCCTCCTAAGGGATGTTATATTGTCATACCAAAACAGTCTGATGGTTTTCCCTACTTTCTTCAATTTCAGTCTGAATTTTGCAATGAGAAACTCATGATCTGAGCCAGAGTCAGCTCCAGGTCTTGTTTCAACTGACCGTATAAAGCCCCTCAACCTTCGGCTGCAAAGTGTATAATCAATCTGATTTCAATATCGATCATCTGATGATGTTCATGCATAGAGTCACCTTTTGGGTTGTTGAAAAGGAGTGTTGGGAGCAGCTAGGTGGTGCAGTGGATAGAGCACCAGCCCTGGAGTCAGGAGGACCTGAGTTCAAATCTGGTCTCAGACCAGACACTTGAAATTTACTAGCTGTGTGACCCTGGGCAAGTCATTTAATCCCAATTGAGAGAGAGAGAGAGAGAGAGAGAGAGAAAGAGAGAGAGAGAGAGAGAGAAGATTATTTTGTACTCCAAGGCCAAACTTGCCTGTTATCGAATTATCTTTTGACTTCCTATTCTCTTTAGCATTCCAATCCCCTGTAATGAAACCTTACTAGCATAACCCCATTTGGCCATCTACTTGATTTAGTACCACATAGCATCAGAAATGATTTCTTTTAAGAAGTTTATTACAAACTAGAAACCTGGTTTTGAGAAGGATCAGTTTAATTCAAGAAGCATTTACTGAGATAGGTGCTGCGCTAGGTTAGGCACTATACATTCAAAGACAAAAAGAAAACAGGTCCTGACCTCAAGGAGCTTACACTCTACTAGAGCAAAGCCAATATACTGGAAGTATACGAACACATACAAAGTTACTTGAGGCCTGAGAGAGCACCAATAACTGGGGAAATCAGCAAAAGTTTCCCACAGAAGGTAGCCCCTGAGCTGTGTTCTGGAAGAAGATGGGGAGTCTATGAGCAGGAGAGGAAGACAACATTCTAAGCACACAGGGTCTTGGCCAGGAAACGGAAAGGTCTTGAACAGGGAATATCGAGCTGACCAACAGAATGCATGAAGGGAAGTAATGTGAGATCAGTCTAGAAAGAAAGGAGAGAAACAGACTGTGGAGGACTTTAAAAGACAAACAGGAGTTTGACTTTTATCTTAGAGGCTAAAGAGTTGGCATTTCTTGTGAAGGGCTGCCTTAGGAACACTGGTTAGTCAACTAACATTTATTAAGCACCTACTACTTTGTGCTGGAGCTAGACCCTGTGCTAAGTACTGGGGTTAGATACAAATTAAGGCAAAAGAGAAACTGTGCTTTCAAGGAGGCTCACAATCTAATGGCAGGGACCCCATACAAACAACTATAGACTAGCAAGACGCATACAGGATAAGCTGGAGGTTACTTCAGAGGAGAAGGCACCAAGGTCAAGGAAGACGAGGAAAGTCTTCTTGCAGAAGGTAGGACTTTAGCTAAGACTTGAAGGAAGCCAGGGAAGGTAGGAGGTATATAGATAAAAAGGACCAAAGTCCCAAGAATCAGGAATTGATGATGAAACAGCATGGAGTCTGGAGATGAAATATCTTGCTCAAGGAACAGCATGGAAGCCAGTGAGACTAGATTTCAGAATACATGGAGGGGAATAAGGTGTTAGAGAGCAGGAAAGGAAGGCGCCAGGTGCTGAAGGTCTATGAAAACCAAACAGAGAATTTTACATTTCATCAAGGCGCCAGGTACTAAAAGTCTATGAATACCAAATAGAGAATTTTATATTTCATCTTGAAGGTAATGGGAAACCACTGGAGTTTACTGAAGGGGGGGCGGGAATAATGGTCAGATATTCTTTTTAGCAAGATCAATGTGACCCCTCTGTGAAGGATGGATTCCTTCCTTCCTAAGGCAGGAAGACCAACCCATAAGCTACAGTCCAGGGGGAAGGTGATGAGGACCTGCACAAGGGTAGTTGTATCAGGAGAGAGGGACATACATTAGAGATACTACAAACATAGGAAGAACAGGATTTAAACAATGATTGGAGAAGGGGGACGTGAGAAAGTAAAGTATCCAGAATGACATGCAGATGTCATCCTGTAGCTGTGTACAGGATGACAAGAAGATTAGAAACAAAGAAACCAATTAGGATGTTATTATAATAGCTCAGGAGAGATGGGATGATGGCAGCTGTGTAACAAAAGAGAACAGGATGGATACAAGAGAATTTGCATTGGTAGCATCAAAAGAATTTGACAAATGATTGGGAGAGCGGAAAGAAGAAGGTTCAAGGAGACTTCTAAAAATTAGAACCTGAGTAATTAGAAGGA